CTGTTTGTCAGTAGAGTTCGGATAAACTGGCCTGACTGGAGCAATTCCTGACAAGAATGGTCATGTGGATGTTAACCTTCATGGACAACCCGGTGCTGCTAGCTCTGCTAATGTTAGACACACTTAGCAATAAAAAAAAAAAAAAAGTTTAAGACAGGTCTACAAGAGACAAACTTTTGCGTTGGTTAATAATGTATTTCAACGTGAAATAGATGCTTTTGTTTATTTTGTGTCAAACGCACATGGTTATAAGCCTGATAAGACAAATACATATTAATACGCAGAAGAAAATAGTGCCTGACCAAAGCAGTTACACCTGCATGAAGATGTCAACCAAAAACTACAAAAAAGAACTAATGAAGTAAGAAAAGTTTCAACAAATGAAAGAACATGATTGTAAGTTTTCAACAGTGGCTATTTAGAGTGAAACAACACAAACAACAATATCTTTAAAATGTACAACAATATTGATAAAAAGAGGGGTCGTCTTTTTTTTTATTAGTATTGCATATATTTACACATGTGGGGGAATACACAAGGTCATATGGTTGGTTTTGTTTAAGGAGAAAAGATGCACATTTGATACACATTTATATTACATACATATTCTGTGCTGTTACGAAAGATACACTCCATGTCTTAGAGAGTAAGACCCACAATCTTATACACTGACAGGAAATGTCACAGATAAACCTACTCCCTGAGTGTCAAAGGTCAGACAGGAAGATTTAACTCTTCGCAAAACCATCTCTCTCCTCTCTGCGCCCCCTCATCTTGCTGTCCTTTTTGCTGCTGTCATTTTGTTTATCACCTGCAGTCATCTCTCTCTCTCTCTTTCTTTCTCTCTCTCTTTCTCTCTCTTTTTCACCCCCCACCTGCAACCTCCTCCCTCAGCTTCCATATTGATTTACTCGATATCCTGTTGTCACATTCTTGTGGAGAAGGTTTCCGGCTCGGAAAAAATAATAATAAAAAAACCCCCACTGACATTTACCCCTCAGTTGCAACATTTAGCTCATTTAGACTCCATGAAACAACAAATGATTTAATGGTAAACGCTAATGCCAGGAGGTACAAGAGATGACTGGAAACATTTAAATATCTAACTGTGTCATGAAAGACTTTCTTACCTGACAATCTTACCTGAAAGTCTCACTCCAATTCTGTCACCACTTTCTCTACAGGTGCTTGAGATGTCTTGGGTTCGAGGGGGCTTCATTAGGAGGGTAGAGACTGAGGAAGGGGGAGAAAATGGGAGCTAAAAAGAGTGACAGCCTGGTTGAAAAAAAGCAAGCAGCTTTAATTTACACACACACACACACACACACACACACACACACACACACACACACACACACACACACACACATACACGCACACGCACGCAGTGTATCTGAGGGCAGGATGGGAACACCTGTGGAGAGAAAGGTGGGGACCCAAAGGCTGCACCCTGCTCTCACCCAGTGGTTGCTGGAAGGAAGGAACCCAAATTTACCAATGTGGGTGGGAGGCATCATAAGCACTGCGCACACACATGCACACACAAATCTCTCATGAGACACAGGTGTGCACAACTGGGAGAGGCTCAACACAGCAGGGGCACCGGCAGTGAGGCTTAGAGGGATGAGTGGGGATAGATGCGCATGTGGAATAACCAGCAGAGTTGTCTTTTTTCAACACATGGCCCTGGAAAAAAACAGCTCCAGGCTTCTGGATTAGCTCAGTCAGTAGAGAAGGCACTTCTGTGTACAAAGGCAAAACTCTCCATGCACTGGCTGCTGATTTGGCAAAGGAAAATTCAATGTTAAGATTCATACCAAAGTTCCTCAGAATGGAGGATTTGCCATCTAAAACGGCCATGGTATTAGAAGGAGTCCACTTGCTGTTAACACCCCAAGTTAAATCTCACAATACCACCTGCAGGCTAGATGATATTAAGTGAATGTTACAGCTAGAGATTGCGATGTTTTTGGTTTGTTCACCAGCTTCTGTACATGATACTCCTGCCTGTATAGGTTCTGTTTGTGTCTCTATGAGTCCACATGCTGGGATGAGGAAACCTTTCCCCACAAGGAAACAACTATTTCTGCAACCTGAATATATCTGAGATCACAACAGGGTTGTATGAGATATTTCAACTCTATGATCCTCTCAACTCTAGATCCATTTATAGTAGAAAAGTTACCATTTGTTTACGGTGGTTAGTATTTCTCTAGAAAACACCATGAACTTTATTTTACTGGCATTCAGAGGCAGCCTGCGGCTAATAAAAGCTCCTTGGAGAAAATTCAAAGCAAGCTGCAAGTTCTTGATGGCTTTCTGTATAAAATTGGCACTACAATAAAAAATACTGTCATCTGCATAAAAAGAGGGAATGACAACCATTCAAAGACAAAATCGTGTCATTGATATAAAGCATGGCGCCCAAAACTGATCCCTATGGCACGCCTTTATGGATATAGATTCAGATTCAGCCTGACCTTATTCGACACACTGTTGTCTTCTAGATTAATAGTCAGTCCAATTAACTGTACGATAGAAATACACAGTGGTCTATCACTCCACGTGAAAAATCCCCTCTATAGCCACAAATAATGCTCAGAACAGCACCTAACTTCATCAACAGTACATATCCAGCCAAACTAGCCACCAAACATCTTTTTAGCTTTGCCTGGTTTCTTTAGCAAAGAGACTAAACACAACTCAACTACTCTCTTCCAGCAGCCGCTTGTTTGTGTGGGAGCCCTGATGAGTCGATCACAAAGTGAAGCGGATCATTTCCTTGAAGTAATAATCGTCATAATAATCATTTTGCACTGCAGTTCTTCTGCCTTAGCGTCTCAGTCTGATTGCATTTCCATGAAGTAATAATCATTAATGTTCTTCCTTGAGCTGTGAAACTCCGCCACACTTTGTGATCAACTCGTCAGGGCTCTCCTACAAACAAGCGGCTGCTGGAGGAGAGTGGGTGAGTTGTGTTTAGTCTCTTTGCTGAAGAAACCAGGCAAAGTTAAAAGATGTTTGGTGGCTGGGACCCTGTATGTACTGTTGATGAAGTTAGGTGCTGCTCTGTGCATTATTTGTGGTTATAAAGGACTTATTGGTTGAGGTCTGTGTGTGGTTCCATAGACCACAGTGTATTGCTATTGTGCTGTCATTACTAAAGTTGGTATAACTAGAAAAGCAAGCAGTCGGCAACATTCATCTCTCAAGGGGGTGTTTAACTCGGTGTTAGGGTGGGTTTAACCCTAACTTAATTTTATGCTGGAATATCCCTTTAAACTTGGATTTATTACCGTTGACTGTTGTACCAGTTAGCCTTACTCTGGTGTCATGATGTCCTACTCCAGGGCTGAAGAAATGTCTCAATAAAATAAATATGTACATGGTTTGACTCTTTGGTCCTCAAAAAACAGCATTAAAAACTGACAATTCATTATATTTAATTAACGAAGACTTTAAATACCTAACTTAGGATTTTGAACGTCCTGTGCTGCTTTTCTCTTTGGAAAATGTGTTACAACAGAAACAAAGCATCACTGTTCAGTGTTGGAGGTTGAGTGATGATATTCAGCCAGCAACTGATGCTATTATAGACTTCATACGTCACTTACAAGCCTCTGTTAACGGGCTGTTAAATAAAAAATAAGTCCTTTTCCTGGTAAAGACGTTAATTCATTTGATTCCCTCTGGTAATTGACTTTAGTGCTTGTATAAACTCTTTATACATTTATAATCTCATGGTCTGCTGATAGTGGAGTCAGTGTGAAATTGCATTAACATTCATTTCCCTCCTCTAAGCTCCTGTCACTGCACACTTCTGACTGTCTCTCTGACCGGGAGAGTTCATGTGTTCAAGAGCCAGCTGTCCCTCCAATAACACACTCAATAATTCATATTGCAAGGAACCCCTGCATGCACACACACACACACAATTACTGATCTGTGTGTATAAGATGCAAGCCAATGTGACAGATTTTGTCTAAACTTGGCAGGAGGTAAACAGTAAGTAACAGTAACAGAAGTGCTGACCGGTCTTGTGAGCAGTGTCTTTGCTTGCTAAGGAGGCCATAAAAGATGTATGTGTGTGTGCGCGCGTGTGTGTGTGTGTGAAAGAGAGAGAGATAAACAGGAGAGTGTAGACACACTGTGTGTATGTGTGTGTGTCCTCTTTACTAATGGAAATCAGATCTCTCATAGGTTGAGCCAGCAGAAGTGGAGCAGTAGATCCATCATGTCACACCCGGGTCAGCCTTGCAGGTCGACCTTCTCTTAGATCTTTTAATGGTTTCAGATGGTTCCAATTTGGCTAATACTAGGCCGGCGTTTTAATTTGTAAATGCAAATGCGTTGACGCGTCTAGTATGAGACAGTTTAACGGTCAACAGAAGGAGTGGGTGGGGTCTGAATTTGCAAACGAGAGTGTTTTTTTCTGTGTAGTGTTGGCGTCAGTGTGCAATGTGCTCCCACTTCCTCCCACAGCTTATCTGGGTCCAACCACTTCTCTCGACTTTGTCCTTGTTGAATAAAAGTTTCTCAGGGCCCTAAATATTGTAATACACAACAAAAGCTATCTAACACCCTAGACCTAAAATTGGTTCATCATGAGCAGTAATGGTAGCAATGCCACGACAGAGGTTCCTTCCAGAGTAGGGTGACCATAAGTCCTCTTTTACCTGGACATGTCCTATTCCTCAAATGTCTGGGGTTTTGTTTTGGAAGTTTTTAGTTTGTGTAGCCGGGACTAACTGAGTTAGGAGCGCATGAAAAACACTCGACACGACCCGAAAAACTCAAAATTCTGCGTGTGACTCTGCTCCGCTCCTCTTTTTGGGGAGTCAGAATATAGTCACCCTATTCCAGAGGGCAGAAACCTCTAGCAGAACCAAACTCCTCAGTGGACTGCCATCTGCCAAAGCTAGTTACTCATGATTATTGATTATAGGGAGACAAATGTTACGGCTTCTCTGAGGAGTTTTTTAAAAAAAGCAAATGGTACCATAATCAAGAAAATAGATCGTGTTACTTTCATTTTTTTAAATACCTGACACTGCCACCAGGGGGCTTTTGGATTAAGTAGTTAGCTCCACCTCCCTTAAAAAGTCTTATTTCACAATTTCCACAGGACAAACTATTATTGGGTGTCGCAATTTCATGCTAAAAGGCAGCAGGTGACATTTTTCATCAGGCAACTGGAACAATTGAAGGACAAAGACACTGAATTAAAAAACAATAAAAGACGAGGGAGTCCAATTTGTCTACACCAACAAAAAGTCACTGATAGGAGCTTTAAGAAGATCTTTTTTTACCCACAGCCATCAGACTTTACAATCCCTCCTTAAATAGTAGATGACTTTTGACACATGACAACTGATACTGCAGATGATTGAATTTCCCTTCAGGGATAAAATAAAGTTATTCTTGTTTAACATGGGTCTGTTTGTCGCACAAAACAGTACATGCAGTTTCTATGACAACAATCTGGTTGTCACAAGTTTTTCTGTTTTTTTTTTCTTTTCTTTTCTTGTTGTTTTGAAAAGTCATTACTTTGTGGTGCAACTACCAAGAGATGCTAAACTGTCCTTTTGCTGCTTTTAGAGCAATGACAATAAAGACCTAAACCGTTCTGATCGACAGGATTTTATTATGGTTATGAAATTGGCCAAAATAAGGCCTTTGCTTCTCTCTGAGCTATGAAAGTGATCTATTCTTTATAAGACAAACAAGATTGTCAGAGACCAGAACTGATGAGTCTCTGCAGCTTTCATGAGTGCCGTCATTGTTTAATGTCAGGGGGTTAACAACACACTGGGACACTGCCTTTGTTTTTTGCATCTTTCTAAGTTGAAATTCAGTCTTTCTGCTGCGCTCTCTCAACAGTTCACCCTGACTTCTTGTGGGAATTTGAGGCTAACAGAATAATCCTAGTCAAAACCCACGGGAAATTTTTAGCTATCTGTATTCAACAAGGAGGAAAGAGAAGCTTGTGAGTACATAGAGAGAAACTGCTTCACCCAGGGTCACAATGAGGCGCTCAGACTGTTTCTGAAGTATATCACTGGCTGCCAGCCTGCAGTTGGATAAGGGGATCAAACCAATCATCTACTGGGCACCCAGGTAACCAGGAAAAGTAGGTGCTTGTCAGACAACCATCACAGAAACAGACAGAGAACTTAACTTAAATAACACTCTACGAAAAGGAATTTATTGCATTAGTTTGACTGAAATTAGACTTTTAAATACGTGTATCCTAGTCCAACTGAAATTGCATTAAAATAAACTTCTCACAGTCATATGGTTTGGAGGATTTGTCTTCCTTGCTTTTACTTCCATTGGACTAACACTGGTGTAAGCATCCTACACATGCTCCAGGGTCCACATGTTTTCATCTTTTGATGTTCATCCCATTTGCCATTTGTAAATACATTTGTCGATTATTCTGGTATGTTACGTTTTTGTTAAACCAGGAGATGTAACGAGTAGGAAGAGACACCGTGTACTGTAGCAGGGGTGGGCATAATTCTGTCAATAATTTGATTCTTGCCTGATGCTTTTAAACTGGGAGAAGAACAGGAGTCCAATTAAATCACATCTTTGACCTTTAACTGTAACTAAACCTAACTGCGTATGTAAATTTGATGAGAGATACAGCATTTTTGGAAGGGCTCTTGATGCATCAATATTGAAACTGCAGAATCAATACTGCATTATTATTCCTGGTAGTGGTAGTGTATGGGTTTGTGAATAAAATGCATTGCAGGATCATTTATATCAGTATTTTCACTTAAAAGACATCCATAACAATGTTCGAGATATTCTTTAAGTTTTTTGTGAATAAAATAGATCGTGTTCAACCTCAAAAAACTTACTTTCTACCCAGAGTCCAAAAGTTGCTGTTCTTGCTGTTATCACAATCTTCAAATGCCTTGAAACCCTGATATGTTTTAAATAAGGCTATCATACTGTCAGACTCTTGAAGACCGTGCCTTTTGCAAACTCAGTAGAATATTTCAGCTCGAAGAAAGAAACTGATAAATCATATTCAAAGCTCACTTAGAAATAGTTTTTTAAGTCGATTTCAGGTTAAGTGAAGTCTTCTATTCTCCTGTGGAGAGGTTGCACAGTTTTAGCCTTGAAATGAGATTCATGCTGGTAAAACACACTCGGCCTTGTTACCCTTTTTTAATGTCAGATTCAGTTTTACAAAGTGCTTTAATAAACTAATGGTTCCGTTTTAGCTAGTGGTGTCAGAGCACTTTAATTGGTTCCTTTTAAACAGCATTATCACACTCCACAGATACTGCACTTGAGCCCATCTGAATTTTCAGGCTGTTGAGCTTAAACCAGGTCGTTACCCTGTTGAAAACTGATACCTACTTATCTTCTACTTCATATAAACACACTCTCACACACACACCAGGCTGAAGTCCATCGCTTTTCTTTATGCTCTGCTGCATTAACAGGCACAGACTCCCACCCTTTCTCCCTCTCCCTCCCCCTCCGCTCTCTGGCTCTCCTCTCCACCCCCACAAGAGCCTGATGATGTTCAGACTCCACAGTGCAGGACTTTTCAAACGACACCATTACCATTTCAAAGCACCTGCTGCTGCCGAATGGACCTACAATCTGTGGCATGTTCAATTGAGCGGGACGTTGTTCGGCACGAAACAAAATCATCACCTTAGATCTTTTTATCTAAATGACAGACGACAACAGTACGACACACATCTCTGAGTCTGCCTCTTGTGCGCTGCCTCAATTAGAGTAACGGCGTCTATGCTGTGTGTGTCTGTGTGTGGGGTGAGATGTTGCTGGGTATCCTGAGGCATCACTACCACTCATCAGTTACAAAACATAAGCTTTGTTGTTGCTGCTGCTGTCAATTATGTGGCAGATATGAAGCAGAGGCTGACAGAGAGAAAGAGAGGCGGGAGGAGGGGGGGTAAATCTATGCAGACCTTTGAAGATGTATTTAAGCTAAGCAGGAGTAACACTCCTTGAAAGTACAAGATTTGATTATTTGGACAGGGATGGATCAGCACAGGCAGCAGAGGGGCGTCAGCAACACCCTCCTCAAGGCTTGAGGTTTTGTCATTTAAATAGTGCTGAACACACACACTCACACAGACCTCAGCGCCCAGCGGTCCCTACTGCAACATTAATGCCCTCATTTATCCTCTTATGCACAAATGTCAACCTTTGTCAGCCTCTTTCTCTCCTCTCTTCTTCACCTTCACTGACTCACCTCTCCCTCCCTCTGTTGCATTTGCTTTCTCTCCCATTTAAACCTCTTTCCTCAACCTGTCTGTATTCCTCTCACTCTTTCACTCTGTTTTCTGCAGCTCATTGTTACCAGCTCACCCCCCCTCTTCCTCCTCCTCCCTTTCTCTTTCTCTTATCCTGTGTCCTGCATAGTTATTGCACATTTCTGCACTCTTTTTTTCCCCTCTTTCCTCTGCTTGGGGATCCTCTAGTGACATCATCACTCCTGCAGTTACCATGGTTTCCAGGGAAAGGCAGTGTAATAACTGTTTGGATCAAACAGACAGACTTGGAGCTGTTTTATCTCACTATAAAACAAAAAACTGGAGGGGTGCAGAGCATTCAAAAGAGTTTCTCTTTATTACAGGGTTCAGACTCAGTTTTTGGGTTCATGTGAAAAGGTGAAGTGTGTGTATGTGTATGTGTGTGTGTTGGATCAGGTAATTGTTAATGAGGAATCTGTGTGGGTAAACAGGTCGTCGTCGTACAGGTCTTCATCCAGGTCTTCATCCCCGTCAGCGAAGTATGTAGGGAATGGAGGGTTTTGCAGGGTGGAGATCCTGGTTGGCAGGACAGTATCTCTTACCTGCAACACACACAAACACAAACACACACACACACACTTTGTCTGCAGTAGCTGTGATGTAACTTTTCTCTCAGGTCGTGCCTACACATTCAGGACGAAGACAGCGCACAAGTTTGATGATCATTTATCAACCGAAAATACCCAAAACAGCTGACTGAGCAGATTCTGGACGAAAGGGACTTTTGATTTTCTATCATCCCTCTCACAATTTTTAGATCATTTCAGGTCATTTTAGTCCTGATGTTTTCCAGGAACTTGATATTCACATGTGCACCCAACAGTGCAGTATGACTGTATTTTCCTTAGTATAAAAGAATGACAGACGATGACGAGCTGTAATGCATCACCGATAATAAAAAGTCAAACAAATTTAGGTGAACTAGACTTAAACTCCTGCACATTTGCATCAAGAACATATGCAATATTTACACATCACAACAAGCTAGGCTCGGGTAACTGTCTGCACAGCAGGACTTCATAATGAGTAACTACATAGTGCCAGGAGACAGAAAACAAACCCAACCAGCCTCAGAACTGACATCATAAAATTTAATTGCGAGATGTGGATCATCTTCACTCGTGGGGGATCAGGACAGATGTTGCACAAGATACGCCAGTCTGCAGATTAGGTTAGAAAGCAGCTCAACAACTAACTTTTATGACCATCTGTGAATTAACCACCTCGAAGAATGTGAAAGTTTAAGGAGTCAGCTGTTGATCACGACTGATCAGCAAAGGTCCCAGAGAAAACAAACTTGAAACAGATAAGTCATACATGTTTCATCTTAATCCTTAGTTTGATGATTTCAGTTGTTCTGTGTTGTCGTCACACAGTTAATAAGTAAGACCTGTTTTCATTCATTGCATTTGCAGCGGATGCATTAAAAATGACCCTTAAGTAGGACTGGGCGATTATATGATGCTGATAAATTTCAGTTTGATCACGGTGATTAGCTGTGAGCATATTTACTCGATCAAACAAATCAACAGCCAATCAGAGTCGAGCTTTTTCTGCTCACTTCTGTAAGTTGTTGGAGAAGTAAACAGGAGAAGTAAACAGAATGACCGAACGGCGCTGAGGTTGGCAAAATTGATGTCAGCCGTGACTTTGAGTCATCCTCTAAAGTTGCCATTGTTGAGAAAGTTATTCAGTAAGTTATTGTGGCGGAGGTTCGGGTTTCTCCAAAGTGACATCGAGCAGCCACCAGACCAAAGCATCAATCAATCGTATCATCTACGTTTACATTTGAAGGCGTCTTCATTATCTCTGAGGGGACGATTTGTTTATTTTGGGTCTTGCATATCTACAATAATACTCAGGACTGTAAACTAGTTCATTGTATTATTTGATATTGATCTACATTTGTTGTACTGTTGAGTCAAAATGGTTTTTATATTTTTTTCTAAGTTTATCTGATTCAATTTGCTTTATTATTTACTTTGTATAGTTAGAAAATGTAGAACTAATCTCTAGTTTAGTGATAAATTTTAGTGAAATCATGAAAATAACCGAGATCCGATGATGTGACAAAATATATTGTGACCTGCAGGTGATGCAGAGCAACAGAAATGTAAACAGGCAGAGGCATGAAGAGAAACACACTTCTCCAACAAATCAACTCTGTATGTGCCTTTCTTCATACTCATGCTCTTCTTGCTAAGCTTTTACTTCAGGGGCCGGCCAGAAATGGAGTCAGGAAGTTTTCCTGGAGTTTTGTGCACTTGTGAAAGAAACTTGGAGATGTCAAAAAAGTGCAGCAGTTTTAATTATTTTCTCTTTCAAAAGCAGCACTTTGTCACGTCAAGATATATTAATGCAGCGTGCTGAAACATTACATTAAAATGATAGTACAGTCATTTTTTAAGAAAGCCTTTATCTAGACTTGCAGACCAGGCCTTAATTTAACCATTAAGAACGACCCGGACCTCATTTCACTAAGGGCTGCATGTACATGATAAACATTATGAACAAACATGATTAACCTCCAGGTGTGTCCTGGGGCCTAATATAATCTAAAGAGGGTCCTGGAGTGTGTTTGTGTGTATGTAGGACAGCTGAGCTAAGTGAAACACGATGCACATTTGTATTCATTATCGCTTGTCTGCAAAACAAATAATATGCTGCGTGTGTGTTCAAGCGCATGCACACACACAAACACACACACAAGGTGAACACGACATGCTGAGTATGGAGATGGATGCCGTGGATATTACTAACATCATTGGGGCGCGCATATTAAATCACTCACGGGACAAACACTCACACAGACGCACACGCACGCACACACACGCAGGCTGCTGACAGAGCACAGTGTCAATGAAGATAGATCACGCCGTCTTGCAGGTGTGATGGCGATTTTTACAGGTGCAAGGTCACTCTCTTTTGTCAGGTCACTAAACATGCTGGCTTTGACCTTCTGATCTCACGCCTACTTAAGTGTGCGCGCGCTCGTTAGTGTGTGTGTGTGTGTGATCGTTTATACCTTCAGTAAGCAGTTCCTGTGGCCGGGGACGGAGCCGTTCACATACAGCACATTATACCTGGTATTGACCCTCCATATCTGCAGGAGACGAGAAAATATTGAACTGAAATTGCTTCCAAGGATGAACAACTTTATCAGTGTGTGTGTTTGTGTGTGTGTACCTTTAGGCCATGCGCTGTAATGTAGGTGTTTCCCATCCGGCCGGGCATCTTCTTCCCTTTGAAAACTTTGGCTGGATCCTGGATGGAGATGATGATGAACGACACACATGCTTACACCAACAAATCACAAGAGGCCAACTGTTCATGTCTGGCATGGATGAGGCTCTGACACAGTTCGTGTTAAGTTATGGTTGTGTGTGTTTGTGTCTGTCTGTCTTACCCCTCCAGGCCCGGAAGCTCCCGGCCTGCGGTGTGTTTTTGTTTGGCCGTGAGTCGCCGGCTGACCTTTGAACCCCCATCTCTTCATCACGCCTTGGAAACCTTTACCGATGCTGCACAAACATAAAAAAAAGAAGATCCTGTTTGCACGCTGGTATTTCCAGTTTGCTTTATTGTTTGGAGGATATGATTAGAGGGAAAGATTCGCCCTGTTTTGCAAAAACCAGTAACCAATTTATCTTCAAAGTGTGGCGCCGCAGCTAAGATGGGATAAGAACTGGTAGAGGGAGCCAAGAGGAAGGAAAGCTGGCGCAGCAGAACTTACGATTTGGCTGTGACGTCCACATACTGTCCAGGACGGAAGTGAGCGGCGTACAGAGGAGTGCCTGAACACAACATGAGCAAAATCAGCTTTACAGGGCTGAACATACACGGTCTAGATTCATCACACACAAAGGGAAATACTTCCAGACTGTACTTGAGGTAGAGCCTAATAGGTTTGTGCGTACCTGGTTTGATGATGGCGTTGTCAGAGACTTTAAAAGTGGTGACTTTCTGTTTCGGGGGCACGCCTGCTTCTCTGCACATCTCCATGTTCTCTTCAGACTTCTGTGAGAAGAAAACACGGCCATGGGACAGAAATGAGCAGCGAGAAGCAGTTGGACTTTGGCATTTTAAAATTAACCGTGGGCCTGTTGTGACTGTGAGCGAGCCAAACACACACACACACACACACGAAGACAGACACAGAACCACATTTGGCAGCGAGCGTCTCTGACATTTGCTTTTGCTCTGCTCACTCTCACCCCCCTCCTCCCCTTTCTCTCCCTCCAGTCACTCGAAATTCACTCTCTCTCTCCCCGTCTGTTGACTGAAAACGAGCCTGCCAAAGCTTCACACTCCGACAAACTCTGCCTTTGACTGTGGCGTAAAGAGGCTGCGTGAGAGGGATCCAAAAACACTCTACAACCGACAAGTGGAACCTCCGCCGCGGGAAAAACAAGCGTCTATCAAAGCTTCATGAATAAATCACAACTTCATTTACTCGTCTGGTGCTTTGTTTGATTTCTCTCCATTTATCTCGTCTCCCTCAAAAAGATTGTTCGTTTGAAAAGGATGAATTCTATCACATGCATACAAACAGGTAATTCCCTATAAAATAACTCTGTCTCCTCCTGAGCCATATAGACGGAGCTGGTGCTGCAGCCTGCCTCCTTCAGATTTCCGCGTTTGTTTCATAGAGTTTTGATAAGCAGTCTGAGGCAGAGAGTGGAGTTTATTACAAACATAAAAAGACACCTTTGAAAGATGAGTGCCTGTCATTATTAGTGGGATATCACAACAATGAGATCTAATGAATCCCATTTATTTAGAGGCCATGTATGAAATGGAGTCGGCGTGGAGGGTTAGTGGGTGAGTATAATATCCTGATGGCGCGTCTGTATTCATAAAAGGTCTCGGAGCCGAGCGGCCAGATATGAGCTCAATGCTTCATGTGGAAATGACAAAACGGAGTTCTGTTTCTGGGAAGCCGCCGCGATGATTAGATTGTATTTTTTTTTACATGATTATGAAATGAAGTAAAATGAGCACAACAGTGTTACAGCCTGATAAGAGGAGGCTGTACTGCAGGTTTAAAAGCACACTGACTGGTGTGATCGCATCTCAGATTTCATATGACTTGAATTCTGCTTGTATTAGCACGAATAATTGTTATATAATAGCTTTTAATCTCATGGCTGCAGTGTACAAGAACCACCGCATTTCTTTACAAAGAGGTACAAAGCTTAATCGTTATGAGAAACGTTGTCATCCTGCAGCCTTTGTGTTAAACACAATTACAGTGGCCTTGTAAAGCTGAAAAGACTGACGCACTGTTTTTGTGTTAAGTAATGTTGGTAATTACGCAACCGGCAGAAAATAATTTAATAACCTCAAAGTGCCAGGACGAGTAAAGTTTTCACATACAGCTGCCCCACAACTTTACACAAGGATGCTTTTTATTGCTGTTTCTTGGCAAAAGAGGTCTCGTTTTTACGGAGCTCTTCTTTCTCATTTCACCACATTTATTGCGCTCAGAGCAAAATGATGTTACTCTGAGAGAGGCAAAGAGAAACACTCTTGTAGTACAATTTTCCCTGGTAATTAAATGAGCCCTAACTGGATTAAAAAGGATCAAGGCTGTTGTGCGCGAGTTTTGCTGGGTCTGCCATAACTCCTCACAGGAGTGGTGGAGGCCAGCCTGAGCTAATATAAGATCAATCTGCTTCTTGATTTGACATTTACTCCCATGGCTTCATGGTTTGCAATCAAACTGTTCTCAGCCATTTGTCATTATCCTGTAATTAGAAGTATACGGAAACTGATGAGTTTTTAAATAGCCATCTGACAGACTGGAATCAATACTGACGCCTTCCTCTGAACTACTAAAGCAACATAAGACCATCATACTGGGACTGCACCATGTAAGACCTTTTTTTTACAAATACCTAACATGTTGCTATCTTCAAACTCTAACAGAGATCCACACTGTTGGTATGAGCACACCTTTATTTTTAAGTCTCTCCTGTGCTTGGATTTACCCATAGACTGTATATACAATGGACAACTTGGCCGTAGGTAAGACTACAAGCGGGTTAGGTTGGTAAGTACTCAGCTTCGCTCGCCTCCGCAGAGTGCCGCTGCCTCTCATCTTTAAATTATAATTGTGGAACGATTATTACAGTACCTTACGATTTCATTGTCGCGGCCGTTTAATATCGCATATCGCGATTAAATTGTATATCCGCACATCCCTAGTGTCAATCATTGAAAACATGAACCCCCTAATAACTTTTAAAAACAGAGCTGTACAGAAAAAAAAGAGGACTTGAGCACAAACCAGTCTTACAGTAACTACACGTCAACATCACAACCATGGGGGGAGAAAATTTTATATTCTGTGTAATAAATTTCTAAAGTTTGTCCACAGCTCCATAGGGATTGCTGGAGGAGGCGGGATTTATGACCTATACTGCAGCCTGTCACCAGAGGGTGCTGTTCTCATGGTGGCTTCACCCCGCCAGGAGGCAGACAGCGTCCATTTTATATGCAGTCTATGGATTTACTTGATACTCTTATTGTTTCTATCTGTTTATTCCAGAACGAGGAATAAAACATTCAATCTCATCAAAAACCATATTTTTTTTGGACACATTTTGGGTCACCTGACTTCACAAGCACATCAAATACCTATTTAGCTGTTTGTTCCAAACACTTCAGATTACAACCATCATATTAAATCTTGTGTGTCATAATTAATCAGTCACCAAAAATGAAAGACATTTTCATAACTGCTGATGCCAATAGTTTACACCTTTCAGCTCATTATCATCTTATACTGGTTCTAAGTTGAGAGCAGTTATGACACCCAAGTCAAAAGATAATTTTTTTCACACTTTTATTCTCTTACTTTAAAACTAATAACTGAAGCCCCTTGAGGGGAAATCCAGCTTGAGAATTTTGGGCAAATGACAATGAAAAGAATCTGCGTTTAAGAGCACCAACCCCAGCTGACTAAATTTAAGGTCAAAACAAACAAATGTGTACTTGTATTTTTCATGACGAGTATAACAGCTGCTGAGTGTCTTACATGGAATGGTGAAGCATTTTTCCCTCCGACTAAGAGAGCAGCTGTCTTTCCGTCGTATTCGTCTTTGGACAGATACCGTATTACATGGCAATCCTGAACCTGAAGAGAAAAAAACAAATGTTCAATTTTACTGAAAAGGTGTTTTTTTTTTCTTCTCTGATCTACATTCTTATAACATGACACAGTACAAGCTCCTAGTGTCCCCAAATGCATCAGGCTGACATCAGCAGCTTTTACAAATATATATCAACTATGATGTATAGAAATAACTATTCTTATATATCAACAATCAAACTGTTTCTGTCTGTTCTGGTCAGATTATGAAACACTTTCAGTTTCATTTCTGATAAAACATATCCCACAATGCCAAAGTGGTGGGAGTGCTGTCACCTTGAGGATTTTATTTAAAAGTGTTCCTTTCCATCTGGTACACTCTGTTTCTGTATCAGCTGAAAAAAAAAAACACTGAATGTGTCAAAAGTGACTCAGCAGGTGAGGATAGAAGTTCGTCTACAGCCTGAATTTGACTATGAAAAATGACTAATTGTTCTGCAGTGTGTCATTTTAATCAGAGACATTTCAAACTTCTAAAATCTTTTTTCCCTTTGCTTTGAGAACTGTTTTAATGTTAAAATGTTGACTTGTTAGAAAAGCTCCTGGTTGTGTTTTCTGTTAGAGGAGAGGTCAGCTCAATTCAGATGCATGGTAGATTCAAGGGTCAGATTCAGAAGTGTCCAATAAGTTCTAGCCCACCCTCCCAGACTCTACAGAAAAATCCATTTACTGGATTTCTTCCCTGACCTGCTGGTCGTGAGGATGTGGATGATAAACACAAACACACATTATTTCTCCCGAGGAGTGCCTGCTGCCCTTTGGACACAAGGTTGAAGCCTCCAGAAAACAGTCTGTGTGTGTCTGTGTGTTTCTGTGTGTGTCTCTGTGTTTGTGTCGATGTGTTTTACCTGTAACATAGTGGCTACATGCCGCTCTCCTGTTTTCGTCCAGATTGGAGCCATGCCCAACTTTACAGCGACCAAACCAACTCTCCGACTTCCTGATGAGAGGAAAACATGAAAGGTGGTTAAAAACTCATTTTTTAAAGTACATAATATACAGACTGCTCATTTATCATGAAACACCCACCTTCCGTCCACTCGTGTCTCTCCCAGGGTTCATCCTTGAGGGGGTTGAGCTTTGCTGCAGTTTGATTCCTGTATTCCTCACCCATGCTCTTCCTCATGTACTCCTGGTTATCCTCTGTCAGATGCTCATCAAACCATGTTGTGGTTTTAACAGTCCTAATGCAGCCTAGCAACTGGGTGGGACTGCAGGAGAGCACATCAGGGAAACATGTCAGGTAATCAGATAAAGTTATAAACTCATAAAAGCATCATTCATATCTATATACATGAAAGGAACCACCAGAAAATACTGACAGACGTGTAAAACAGCTAAAAACCTGTTTCCAAAATAACTGGGACCCCATGAGAAAAACTTTTGAAGCACAGTGCTGGCAGTAAACTCAAAGTGAGCTTATCATTCAGCAAAAACAAGCAGTTCATTTTAATCTGGGGTTTGGTTTTGCAGGTCATCATCACCTGCTGTTTCTTTCACTCGACACAGTCTTACCTTTTCTAGAAACAGGGTTGTTCAAATATTTGTGGATTTACTAAACTTAGGGCTGCTATAATCAATTGTTATGCATGTAGCACTGATACAAACTTGACATTTCAGAAATGAATTCATGGTGCACCGGTTTGATGGTTAAGCCGTGCAACCCTGCGATGAGGCTCCAGGTTTTGAGCCTGCTGCACCAGGTTTGACTCCTGCCTCTCTCCCTGCTGCTTTCCTTCTTTATCTGCAACCCTTACAACTCTGAATAAGCTAAAAACGTTAAAAAATAAAATAACAACCACAGAAGTGTAAAATAAGGTATTCTTTGAACAAGATAGGGCTGGATGATATGGACCAAAAGTCATATCCCGATATATGTAGGCTGAATATCGATATGCGATATATCCGATATTGTTATCGCAAAGTGAGAGCAAATGTTTAGTCACAGTCAAAGCCAAATATGACATGTCAGTAGTAGTTCTATTCAAACTGGCAGATGAAATTATGCTCAGCTGTTCAAAAAACTATAAAATGCAAACATAAATACTGTATAACCACAGGAGTACCTTTTTTTTATTGGAGCTCCATATGGTACACATTTAAATGAAAAATATATATAAAATAAAAATAGCCCATAAAGTAAAATGGGCCAATCTTTTTCTGAAATGAATTTATTTATATAAGAAAAGCATCAACAGTTTGACAACTATAAATGGCCTATCAAAATCAAATAGCAGATTTTCTTCTTTTTCTCTAACAAATCCACAGATGTAAACAACTAACACAACGAAATAATTAAACAGGGTTTTTCCTGCGTTCAAAATTGCGTGGCGGCCGCCTCCACCTAATTTTGTGCCGCCCCCAGCCAGAGCGATGGATTTCGCTCAACACAGCGTAAAGCTCCAGCTGTGTTGATTGAGCGATTGATGTCCCGATGCAGCAGCAACGTATTTTAACTGCAGTTGCAGCGTTGCGCCACTATAGAGGCGCTATATCAACAGCAGTGCACCGGAAAGACCTGAAGCATCTACCGTAGAAGAAACGGATCGAATCATGTTTTTTCAAGTGTTTTTCCCGCTAGTTGGTGCTATCGGCGTCCTGATTTTCCCTGGCGGATGGTACAAACAGGTAATTACTGCTTCTCTTTTTTGCATCCAAGCATGTCGTGTTTATTTAAAAAAAAAAGTTTACTCCATTTTTAGCGTTGCAGTTATGACAGGCAAAATCAGCCAGTACTTTAAAAAGCGACCTCGCGAGGAGGAAAGTCAAGAGTCCAGGTGAAACACAGCAGAGAAAAAACGTAACAGGCAGTTAAAATGCTATAATTCATGTTGGTGACAACGTGGAAATTTGTGTCAGGTCTGAAAGTACTTCACAAGGGACTGGTGATCGCGAGGGTCAGAATGCAGGACAGGACGAGTCGGCGAGGCGAGGGTAATTAATTAATTAGTTTCCAATTAGGAGCATAACAACGCAAAGCCGACGTGTACGTGGTTTTTATTCCTCTTTCCAGATCTTCTCAAAAACACAGAGCCAGTGGCTTTGACAAGCAATGGCTCAATCAATTTACCCGGCTCAGGCATACTGAGGAAGGCATGCACTGCTATTTATGCCAAAAGCACTGTGCCCCAACACAGCAGGCAATTATTGCCTCCTTAGTGAGACAGCCATCAACCAACTACAGGCTGGACACATTAAAAAGACATGAGGTGATAGCCATTCACAAAGCAGCAGAAGAGAAGGAGAAGTGTATTAAAGATGGTAGTACCTAAAAACACTCAACTAATAAAGTTACAAAAACTAAAATAACATAGTTTAGATAGTTTAAGAAATAATTGGTTGTCGTTTTTTTTTTTAGGGAGGACACTCCAGCGTATACATATATATAATATATGATTGAAAACACTATCACTCTTCATGTCTGTATCAGAATAAAAACAAAAATACTTAATGCATGATGAATTGTTTTGTTTAAGGTGAAAACACCTCTGCGGAACAGACTGAAGGAGAGGCACTTGGATGTCTGTTGTAAGGTGGCCGTTGATGGACCAGACCAGGAGGCCTTGGACTACAAGGAGTGCATGAGGAGGTTCTACAGAATGAAAAAGAGGAGGCTGAAATGTTCTGTCTGGTTGTGAGATGTGTGGATGAAGTGTACTTTCAATTTAAAGTTGCCAGCTGATTTGTGTATGTATATAGTTTTAATAAATGAATGCTTTAACATAATAATGGTCACACTCTTTTTTGAACTCTTAACTTAAAGTATGTTGCCTGTAAAAGAAAGTGAATCGGTTGAATTTACAAATACATGCACGTCGTGGCGCACGGTCAGGATGGTGCCACCTCTGCCTCAATTTGAGCCAGGAAAAACCCTGTTAAACATGACAAACCCTTGTGAGGGCAGCATTTACATCTATAAAGACAGAACAAAATAAAATGCTCAGTTTAAGAAAATTGTTTTTAAACATCATTTTGAGATTACCTTTCTGTCTTTCTTATCTTTTTAACATTCGCAACCAGTTGTACAAGACTATGACCGATTATGAACTCAGTAAATGTTTCCCCCTCTTTCTTTTCTACTTTGATAAACAGTTAGTGCTGTCTTGAGGTAGACATTAGAGGACAGACAAGTGTGTCCTTCACCAGCCTGTCAACAACAGCATCTGATATCTGTATATCGATATATCGATATATGTGGTATGCTCCAATTCCATATCTCATTAAAAATATATATCAAATATATTTTTTATATGGATATATTGCCCAGTCCTGGAACGAGGCATTTAAAAAGCTGAGGTATTTTTTGATAAGGTGACTAAATGAAATGATAAATGTTCTTGCTTACCAATCTGCTCCTAAGTTTTATTTTATTTGTCATTTTGGTTGACTTTCTGTTGCTGCTGAGTCACTTAGGCCTGGCTGATGAAAACACGTTGATGCATATATTCACAGGGACAGTTGGTCATTTAAAGTGTGCAAATGTCAGAAAACTCAGTGACAATGAGTCAAAGGGATGAAGACAAGTGAGAAATGACTGAACAGAAGCTGACTGCAAAGCCTGACCATCTCTGAGACAAAGACAGACCAATTCAAACTTTTCATCAGAAAGAAAAAACCACAATAATAATATGAGTAAATCACGTGTTTGCAATCTTCACAATTATTCCTAAGTGAGGTACTGTTTAGGGTTTTAGTCTTTCTCCATCATAAGGAAGCTTCAGACTAACAGTAAACAAAATAAGCTAAATAGTTGGTAAAGAAGAGGCTAGTACAGCACTGTTATACTGTACAGTATTTTCACTTCAGTGACCTCGATCAGTAGATTTATATCCAGAAATGAACCTCAGCTGCATTAGCTCCGCTGTCATCCTGTTAGCACAGCTCACCTCTCAGCTGCTGTCCGCGGACACATGAGCCGAACTCCCCGCTGAAGGACGAACCGACAGCTCCACGCCGCCATAGCGCTCCTCAGAATAAACCTTTATATCTAAATCGGGTAGTAAAAGCGTTAATTTCACAACATAAACAGAACCATGCCTCCCTCGACTCGTCCAAATGTCACCCTGACTACTTCCGGTACGTGACAGGAAAAGGTTCGTAGCGTTGTTGAGGCCGATGCCAAAGGTTCCGGCCCGCAACAAGTCTCCGAATTAACAAACACAGACAAACGGGACCCAGGACTTTACCATATTTTCAAGTAATATTTCATGTTGAATGGCTTGATACGTTTTAACCAAGAAAATAAATCGCAACTGAGGAGTTTTCGAGGCAATTGTTAACCTTGGGCTTGGTGATGGACAACAGTTTTTTTTTTTTTTTTTGTAAAATAAATGAATAAAGTTCACAATGCTGACGTTTAACGTTCTACTACAACAAGTTCTAATCTTTTGCCAGTTTTAGCGGCAGGTTGGTGGTTTTTGTTGTTTCATATTGTATTTTAAAATTAGCATAAGTTGTTGTTTGAATTTAGGTGCACACTTGTGAATTTGTGTATGTACTCATGTGTGAGTGTATGTATACATACATACTGAAATGCTAACTTTGGACCAAGGTTTACTAAGGCCAAATATATGACGCCTTATCTTTTCTTTACTGTGTATTAATTTACCTACTTTATCAGGGGGAGAAGAGATATTTCATGAACTATATGGAAATGCTGAATTTATGAACTGTAGTTTGAATGAGTTTGGATATTTGTGTAAACAGAGCAACCGCAATTTATTTGTATATCCACCTTTAATAGGGCCCAAATGAATTATATTACTATTTTCAGAATGAAATGTGTTTTTGTTACTGTTTTTTAATGAACTGAAAAAGGAATTAGAAAAAAAAATTGTGAAAATGGTTTGAGATGGAGGACACCCACAAGTCTGCCACAATACTGTGCACATTGGGTGCTATATATATATTTATTTATTTTTTCTCCTTGTGTGACTCTGATTTTGTGTGTATTATTATGTGTGATTTATGTTTATAAAATAACTAAATAAATAAAGTTCATACTGTATAATGCTGATGTTTAAGGTTCTACCACCACAGCTTCCAGTCTTTTGCCAGTTTTAGCGGTAGGCTGGTGGTTTTAGTAGTTTCACATTGTATTATCAAGTTGTTGTAGGCCTTACAGAAGTAGATATGCTTCAACGTCCCCTTCAAAGTTGTTAAACATTCTTAGCCTTCAATCCTAGGGATATGATCTGTATTAAAAGCCCAATTCCATGTGACATACAATGAAAGAAAACATGTTGATAAGGTCTGAATTGGGTGGATTTAGCCTACACATCTGGCCAGGCTTCATTAATGCTGAATAATAAATACAGATTTTGAGGCAACATATGCTATAATTCAGTCAAATGGCCAGCATTCAGTGCTGACCTGTTAAAAAACATCTGGTGAATAGAGACAGAGAGAAAAACAAGTGAAACCCTAAAATATTGAGCAGCTGAAATCAAATATCTTTGCTCTATTCTCAATCAACTATTTACTTTAAATGATTTTCAAACTGAAAATTTAGTTTTTATTCATTTACTCTATGTCCCATCTCTCATGGTATTTGGAATTGAAGACCTCAAGTGGTGTAGGTTTCTTTTTCGCTTTTTGTCCAATTCTTCATTTCACAGTATCTTCTAATGTGTGAGCTGTGTCTGCACGAGATATCAGGAGGCTCATATAAGTGATTACTGATCTGTCTGCCTGAGAATGAGTCACATATAGAGTTCTCTCTGGACAGCCCAACTTTGATTTGCCCTAATTAACTTTATGGAGATTAGGGAATTAATTTATTTCTGCATTTTAATGTCTGTCTGGGGGATGTGAAAAAATAAAGTGAAAGAGAGATGTCGAAGATGGAGTTATCTGTGAGCTGATAGACTTATTTATGTGTGTCTAGGGAGTGTGTGTGTGTCAGTTTGAAGTATTGAGGTGCTCTGGTTTAGTCAATCTAGGCCGGTCTGTCCTTGAAAGACAAAGGAGGAGATGTGCGATAGCAATGTGAGTGGATGTCTGCATGCACTAATAGTCTATTAAGAAGACAATTAAGAAGCTGCCATCCTTTCTGTCATTGTTATTCTGAAATAAACCATTAAAATAGATTAAAAACGCACACCCAGGTTTTTTAGATGAAGTTCTCTGACATTCAGCCTTCAATTCTTTATATAAAACATGCATGATTTCAATGCAATAACCAATCTTGTTTCCCCACTAAAGGGTATGTTTATCCCCCTTTTGAACACTTATGTCTTTACAATGTAGAAACATGATATCAGAGACCACACTAAAATGATAAAACCCAAACATCTTTATTGTAATCATCATGCAGAATACAGAAAAAAACGGTTTTCAGCCCACAGATGAGTGTCTACCACATACGCTTTGTTTCTATCCTTCCCAAACTCTTTAAAATGTAAGAAGGTTAATAAGAAATTATTACAATAATTCTGTTTTTCATTTCCATTTAGCAAAATCTCAAAGAAATCTGTAGAAAAGAACCCAAAAAACACCCAAGACAGCCCTGAATGTCACTCAAATGACAGAGATACTTTATTTCATAACTAGCAAGCGGCTACGGGAGATTGGATATTAGTAAGAGCTGAATTATGCATGCATTTATGCAGTATACTAACAGGGGTGCGACCGTTCCCACAAATAACATTTGCAATTCTAATTCTAAGCTTTTTACGGCTATGCAATCACATATATTTGGCTTCTCTACCCCACAGATCTTTACTTGCTAGTTATCTAAATAAGGTAGGAGTGTCATTTCTTTGGGTGGCCTATAGTGGTCTGAGTCCGCATGCTGGTTCAGAAGACTGCTCTTATTTCTATAAACATCTTCAGATATACAGTAGAGAGTAATAATTTCCCAGGTGACACCTTTGTGGCCAAACATGCAATAGTCATCAATGGAGTAGTTCAAATTGTTTCACCAGAACGAGCTAAATCTCTGAGCTAGACTACCGTATGTACGTGTGTATGTGTGTGCTTGTGCTTTTGCATGTGTTTTCTTATTATACAGTACATAAAGAATATATATATATATGATATACATGTGTGTGTGTTGGATGCATGTTTTCCATTGTCAGGGGCTGAAGGTCCTTGAGGACTCAAAGTCCGACATACACTTGGGTTTGATGCCTTTAGCGTTGTAGTAATCCACCACCTGGTTTGGGACTTCTGCCAAAACACTCTTCGCCAGGGCAGCTGGAGAGGCCTGAAACACACACACACACACACACACACACACACACACACACACACACACACACACACACACACACACACACACACACACACACACACACACCACAGACGGACACATGGGGAGAGAAGACAAGGAGAGAGGTCACAAACACACACACAGCAGCAGCCATGCATGGTTCAAGGATGCTTGTATTTACTGTTGAGTCTGGTGTGTCAAAGGTCTGAACCAGTGAGACTGATGTGATCAGACAGGCTCATTTAACAACCTCAAAACACCCCTGCTTTCACCTTTCGTCCTCTAGTACCATCTCTGTTTTCTCCTCCAAATGTGCTCCTGAAGAAAATGCACGACTTACCCCAGTCAATATAGTATAAAAATGCATGAAAGAACACAGAAGAATATATAAATAATCTTGTTATTAAATCCGATACAATTTATGCTTCAAGGAATGTTATTGGAAAGTTATTCTCAGATTGTTGCGCCTGTGCCTGCAGATTCAACTGAAATTTGGACTGTACAACTTTAAAGGATATAAAGGACCGTCACGGTCTTGTAGCTAACATTGTATTGCAAAAGAAAGCCATATGATTCATAAGCAAAACTATATTGGTAATTGACCATTAATTTAGCTTAATAAACTAAGATTCAAAGACTTAGAAGATTGCAATTCAGTAAAAATAATGTATAAAGCCAAAACTGAAATGATAACATTCATTATTCATCAGAAAGTGGGGGTAAACCTGTGAGACATGCAATCTGAAAATGACAAACTGTGTCACACATGCATCTGTGTTGTTCTTGCAATGAACATATTATTGCAAAAACAGTAATTAAGGTTAAAAAGGGTTACAATAGTTCTGAAATATTTCAGTTTTTTCCCCCTAGTTTGGTTCTGATTAGTTTTTGAGCTGGGTTTTAAGTATAGTTTGTTTTTTGTCTTTTGAAAACACTTGCTTTGAGTAATTATTTCTGCATTTGAGATACTTGTTGGGGGTCTAAAAATTTGTTGTAAAGAAAAAAAACATCTAACGACACCATTGTAAAAAAGTATATATATATATATAGTATGTTCTTAAAGATCAACAACCACCCACTAAATACAAGCCACAGGGTTAAATTGTCACAGCATAAATTCAACAACAATTGATATCTAGTTGTGTGTGGACTCACATGCTTCATCCCCCCCTGAATAAGTCTGTGCAAGGGTAGGGCCACCCCTGTTTTAAACTATGGACATGCCCCTGCTTGTTCATCGCATGTGCGTCAACTAGTTTTGCTCAGCAACAGGTGGATTCATGCTGAATTGAGGGCATCGTTGGAGGAAGAGGTTTACTACAGTGAAAGCCAAGGACTCAACTTTCATCCAGTTAACGTCAAAAAACTACTTCAAGATGCAGCAGCTACAGTGTGTCCGGTTAGTGTGCCGCTCTCTCTCTGTTCAAAGTCAATGTAGACCAACCCCTTCTTCTTCTGACTATCACTGTAATTTATTATTAATCCTCAAGGATCATCTTTTTTTATCATATTACAATGACAGACTTTATAGAATAAGATCTTTATTCTTTACCACAAAGCCTGGCTAAAAACGAGAAGGATATTATTTTTGAAGAACCGTGTCCACCAGAACAATGGCTAGTCATTAGGTGAACAAGAAGCTGTCTTGATTTGTTGATATCTAAATCTATCTAATCTAATAATCTATCTAAATTTTCCCAAGAAAGATCTCAAAACTTTGAAGGTCAGGCCAACACCTGAGGCTGCTGCTGAGACTGACAAAGGTGTGTGTGCCAAAGACTGTGAGGAAGGACATTTTTTTGTAATTTTAGTAAAATTTGTAAACACTCAATGTAGATCAAGTTAGTTGTTTTTGTTTTTGCAGAACCTCGTTTTACTAGTTTTCATTATTTCAGTAGTTTTAGTTAACAAAAATTACCATTAGAGGGGTAAGTAATTAGCCTAAATAAGCTAGCTTCAGCCTACACCATTTCAGTTACCATGGAAACGTGTAAGGTGTTGTCCTTGTGAGTTTATTGTCTACTGAAATTGAACATAAAATGGATAAGTTTAAAAAAGCATTTGATTCAACTGTACTCACAGTATAATATCCACAATAGTCTCTTATTGTTCATCAGATCTTTTATGTTCCCTGAATTTTAAGGGGGTTCGAGGGGATTTTGAGAAGTTCAACTCTGGGACAGCTATTTTTATACTTCTCTGCATCTGTTTGAGACTACTCTCTTGCCTGTGCAATGAATAACTAATAGGAATATAAACAAGAACACAGAAAAACCCTTTGGATAAGGTGTATTTTTCAGGGTGCTTTTTAAAAAGTTCAAAATAGGACATGTTTTTGTTATTTCATAAGAATTTCAATGTTTTTGTCTACCAAAGGACCCGAGGGCTGAGGAGGAAACAGCTGGAGAAATGGTAGATTGGTAGTTATAAAAGTATCAAATATCAAGTTTAGAGTAAAATAAAACATTCCTATGCATACATGAAGACATAAGTGCATGTACGCACACATTCTCACACACACACACACAGACAAACACAAGTAATTAAGCACAGCCCCGTCACTTGTCAGCGAGCACACACATGCTGTCACAGCGCACCCTCTCCAGAATCCTCAAAGTCAGAGGGTCTGTCGTACTCCGTCTCACATAATTCTCAGAGACAATGCATCATCAAAGCGCTCCCCCACCTCCCTCATTTCCACCCTCCTATCTACCTGTTATCCCCCCCACTCTGCCTGTCACACAGCAGCTCCGTCCTGCTAATCCCCTCTGAAAAGAAACGACGGAGCAGAAAATCACCTCTCCACCTCTGTCACACACTCCCCTGCTCCCTTTTGTCTTTAGCTCTGGTCTCCTGTTGACTCTCCCTCTCAACACCGTCTTCACCACCACTCCCCCGTCACCTTCCTCCTCTGTTTCCTCCTGATTTATTCTCTCTCTCTGTCTCTTCCCTTTCTCTCTCACTTTGTACTTTTTGGTTAGTGTATAAGTTCCATTTCCTTCTTCCATCCTCCCCCTCATTCAGCTAGGGTGTAATTGGTTGATTTCTCAACCTGTCACAGACCAAACTCACCATAACAGAGCCGGCCAAACACACCCTGTCAAAGCCAAACAAAATTAATGCTGCCAGAGAGAGACAGGCACACACACACACACACACACACACACACACACACACACACACACACACACACACACACACACACACACACACACACACACATACAAACAGGCAATGAGCAGAGAGCTGAAGAGCTGATGTGTTTTGATGAGCACACCAAGCATATTACACCCACTTATTCAAACCCATTGCCCCCTGAATACAGAGCTCTATGCCTGACACACACACACACACACACACACACACACACACACACACACACACACACACACACACACACACACACACACAGACACACATATACACACAAACACACACACATAGATAAAGCCACTGTTGAAGTTGAACTTTAACTTTTTAACTTTAGATTTATCTGCTGCAGCTGGAAACTTTTCGAGTACGATAAAGACTAAAACACTGATCACTGTCCCTGTTTGATCAGATCCCTGATGTGATTCTTATTCTAGATTACTGTCATCACACATTTGCACACATTTCCTCTGCATCACTGATGAGCAATTAAAGCTCAGTTGTTTTTTAGCATATTCACAGGGAGCCAGCATCCATGCAGGCCTGTGACTGCATTAAAATGGATGTACTTGTTCTGTTTTAGGACTGTAATCCAGCAGCAGATGCCATTTCTCCCATTAGGACGTGGAAGCTAGCTGTAGCAGCAGCTTGTGTTGATACCCAACTTGGCAAAAAAAACGAATAACACAGTGTGAAATGTATGATCTGAGTTTAGAAGAAACTACAGTAGACTGCTTGATTTGTGGTGTTATAAGAATGCTGTCACAAATCTGTTGGGGTTACAGTGGGGCAGAGCTGTGGGATTCAAACTGTGATCGGCTTCAGGGGTTAATTTTAAAAGGTACAGGAAGTCCATGCACTGAACTGCAGGAAAAATCTTTCCACCCATCCTTATCCAGACTCTTTCCTACCACTTTCATAAAGTGACCCCGGCAGGTCAAGGTTCACTGCAAGCAAGCTGAGGGGGTTTATGACTTTGAACAAGTTGAGCAGAGTTACTCTTACTACCCGCCTCAGTTCACTGTTATGATGGTCTGAAACATTGTGAATTGTCATGTTGCAAACTGTAACATTATGAACCATTGTGTTGGGCATGATCATGTTACACTATGTCACGTCACATCATGTCACACACACTATGTTGCTATGCTGTATTGTGTTTTATTGTGTTACATCACGCTCAGTTGCTTTACATTGCCTTGTGTGTCATTATATGACGTCAGGTTATTGTTAAATGTCATCCTTGGATTATGCTGAGTATGTTGTTGATAATTTTGTGTTGCTTTTGCCTGTCCATTCATTTTAAGTCGATTCAATCTTTTATGATTTCAATCACAAGATATTTCCTCCTCGTGTTTTTTTTGCCCGTATTCTCTGCCTCCAAACAAACAAATCAGCATGATTCTTTCTAATCTAGTAACACTGACCTACACTACTACATTACGTGACTCTTTACTTGAGACAGACACATGCCAGGAGTCTTCGTCCTGTTTTTGGTTATCTAAATATGATCTGACTGGTCATATCCAACTGGTATCCATCACTCATGAGATTGCTGCACAGTTTGTAACTGTGTGTTACACTTACACTTACACTTTAATGAAGTTGACTGTATTTTTAATAGTATTTTTTAAGTGTTTTATGTTTCTGTTTAGGCACAGAGGCTATTTGCTCATCTTAATGCACACACTTTGCTTATTGCCTGAGGTTATACAGACTATTTATTGTAATTAATTTGAGAATTTGTATTACAAAGTTGGCGTTGGCAGATTGGTAGGATGCCAGATTTGAATCACAGGCTTCCCTTAAGCCCATAAATGCTCTGCCTGTGCAGTCGAAGGCTTTTAACGGATATTTGTTAGAAGTTATTGGTTGGTTGAAAATAAAATCCGAAATGTGCATCACAGGAAATTTAGCTGCTTTATAGAAAAGGAATAGAGAATAAATTAATGATTTGTGAAAGGTGAAAATTGTATTTTTTGATAAAGGTCTTGTAGTGCTTTGAAATGTTTCATCAGGTCAAGACTAGACTCCTCTTTTGTTATCTGCAGAAGTCTTCTGCTCCTAAGTTTTGCTGTCTAGCTGAATAGAAAAGAGTTCCTCCATAGTTATGCAGACTCTAAAAACGCATCCACGCAAGAAACAAATTTAGCTGACAAACAGAGCAAAAATGTGTGACAAAGCCCCTGCTGCTGCATTCTTGTAAAGGGGCTCGTTTGTTTATGTCTTGATGTTGTCGGACTTCCCTGGAGAATAACTCTGTTTCTGCCTGGGATGCATTTTTCTTAAGCTGAGTTTTTCCTCCAGAAGATTTTATAGATTCCTCAAAAAGTGCACCCACATGTTTGAAATCCTTGAAGGGGACAAACTGGACGATGTCGCGCAGGACGGGCTCGCCCTTGGGTGACCGCAGGATCCCGTCATCCCCGTCCAGTATCTGCATGTCTGTGAAGTCTGCGTTGCCCACGCCCACGATGATGACAGACATGGGCAGGTGGGAGGCGTGCACGATGGCCTCCCGCGTGTCTGCCATGTCGGTGATGACGCCGTCAGTCAGAATCAGCAGGATGAAGTATTCCTAAAAGGGCGGATGGGAGAGATTTGTGGGTGGGAGAAAAGGAAGAATAGATGTTGGCTGAATTTTTAGGTTTTCAAAGTGGCGTCTTGTCAAAATCTAATTTGAATAAAAGTCATTCTTATCCACCAGAAAGCTGGAGGGAAGCAGGAGGCATGAAGGCTCTGAGGAATTTGTGCTTTAAGATTCATGACTGGAATTTAATTAATATCAATCACTTCCTTCCTCGATTCAATTCCCCTCTTTCTGTGTTTCTTTTTTTCCCTCTGTTACCTCCTCTGTTGTCTTATTGTCCTGCTTTTTATTGCTGTTTGTCCTCTCCTCACCTCCCTGTGTGCTGAACACAGACAGCCACAACAACAGGAACAAAACCAGAGCAAAGTTTCTCATTTTCTCTCTCTCACCATGGCCTCTTTGGTGTGCATCTCCTCAGAGGCGGATGAGGCGACTTTCTGGATGATGGGGGCGATGTTGGTGGGCCCGTAGAGCTGGATCTTGGGGAGGCAGTTCTGGTAGGCCTCGACAACACCTTGGATTCCTGAAACATGCACACACACCGCTCTCTTAATTCCCCTTCCGTCTTTTTGTCTTAAGTGTTTTGTGTTCTGATCTCCCCAGGTCAGAGCTCTTGTATCTAAATCAGACTCTGCATGTCACAAAGTGGAACAAAATCTCTTGTAGGACACACAAAATAAAGCGTTCACACTCGCACCTTCACCGCAGGAACACAGCAATGTGGGGAGAGAAGCGTACAAGCTCATTTCACACATACAGATTAGTGTTGTTTCTCTCTGTATCTTCAGCCTGAAGTACTTGACAAATCTCCCAGCTGTGTGTGTGTGTGTGTTTAAGTGCCTGCTTGTGTGTGTTTTGGTATGAGTGAGAGGAAGCAACGGAGAGTGGGGATAGATACAGAGGGAGAAATATGGGTCTGACAGCGAGGGGGAGGGATGAGACCACAGAGCAGTGATACTGAGAGAGTGTTTTGGTCCCCGTGTGATGCATGAATGAGAAAGTTTCTACCAGTCAAGGAGTCAAGTGTGTGTTTGTTTGCTCACCAGCACATTCAGGATTGTCCTCATCGAAGTTCACTGCGAAATCGTGGGATACCTTCACGTTGGGCAGAGAAGACAAAGCTGTTAATTTGAAGGGAACACACGGCACAACATGTTCAGAACAATTCACGGGCGGACAGATGCGCTCCTCTTTCATGATGATCAAAGGCAAGCTGTGCCTGCCAGAGATATCTAAAATCTTGAGTATCCTGCTGCAAACACACACATTCACACACACACACACACATCCTGAATGTCTTACCTTGAAGTCTGGTGGTATCAGAGCTCCGAAACCAAATGCAGGGAACATTTTATCACTACGAAATGAGAGAGAGAGAGAGAGAGAGAGAGAGAGAGAGAGAGAGACGCAGGGTTTGTCGTAAATGATGCAAAAAGGCACAAAGGGGAAGACAAATGACAGCCAAAAACATCAGGCTTCATTCACAAACTGTGTGTGAGAAAGTTTACGACCGAGCCCCGGGTTCATAAATATTTCATGACCTGAATTTGCTGCACTCTGTGAACAAATTTAGAACTGCCTCAGACCATGTATACGCGCAAATAACGAAGGCAGGGGTGTGTTCGAAAATGGGGGCGCACACCAGGCATAATGCAGAGCTTATTTAAAGCACAGCCAGCGAGAGGGGGAACACTATATAAGCCTCAACTGAGCAATGAGTGTGTGGGACTAAAAGGATCATGAAGCGTATTTATGTACAGTATTAAGCGTAGAAATGACCAAATTAACCTCCATTCTCCGGTTTGTTTTTGCCATTTTCTGTAAAATTGTTGTGATTCATACCATTGTGATTCATCATTCATACAATGTGTTAGATTTAGTGTCATTTAGCGGAGCAGACTTGGTGTAAAATGGAATATAATATTCATGAGAATGTTTAAATCAGTGTGTAATCGCCTGAATATAATAATCACTTAAACTGAGCCATTATATCTGCTTAAGGACCAGGTTCCTTTCAACACCACAATCTTTGACTAGTGTGCAAGAGAATCTGTAGTTTAAGACTCTTTGATGGTAAAAACTTGACGAAAGGGGAAATAATTCTTAGTATGAATCACAGGAGCTTTTTGTCCTTGAAGGCCACCGTCGTCTCACTGGCAGGAGAGGTGAGCAAGGGGGCATTTCAGTCAGGAATTTGACTCCATTTTTACACTGTACTTTTAAACCTTATTATAAAGATTCAGGTGCATTTTGCCTCTGCCTGTTGATACTGTGGCAAAAATGTTATTTCCTAACAGCCACAAAGTCACTTAAAGGGATATTCCAGCGTAAACTTAAGTTGCAGCGGATCATTTCCTTGACGTAATAATCATCATAATAATCTTTTTGCACTGCAGACGAGGTAGCTCTTCTGCCTTAGCGTCTCAGTCTGATTGCATTTCCATGAAGTAATAATCATTCATGTTTTTCCTTGAGCTGCGAAACTCCAATCGACTCATCAGGGCTCCCTCACAAACAAGTGGCTGCTGGAGGAGAGTGGGTGAGTTTTGTTTGATCTCTTTGCTAAAGAAATCAGGCTAAATTAAAAGGTGTTTGGTGGCTAGTACTATGGCTGGGACCATATGTGCACTGTTGATGAAGTTAGGTGCTGTTCTAAGCATTATTTGTGGCTGAGAGTGGCTTTTTGGTTGGTGTGCACATGGAGATGTAGACCATTGTGTATTGCTATCATGCGGTCATTACTTAAGTCAGTATAACTACAGAAGCAAGCAGTCGGTAACATTCATCTCTCTACGGGGTGTCTAACTTGGTGTTACAGTGTGTTTGACCCTAACTTTAATTTACACCAGAATATCCCTTTAAGCCTTAGGCGGTAGTGATGAGAACAAAAGTATTAAAAGCTGTGACATTTACCTAGTTTATGTTTGAAGGTGTTTTTTAAGGACAGAATAGTCAAGATTGATGTTTTTGCAGGAATGTAGGTCATCACCTGAAAATCTGGCATCATGACAGACCTGTTTACTGCCCAAACTTCCTTCTGTTTCATCAAACCTCACTGAATATTTCACACGAATTCAGACCTTCTAGTACTTCTTCACATTTTTCCTGAATTTTCTGTCAGTCTATTTCCTTTTTTTCCTGGACATTTAAACTTAAACCAATGTTTTTTTTCTATTTTACTTGAGTGAAGTGCATATTTCTGAACCACAACATCCTCCGTCTTGGTAATTGAACTTCAAGTCTGATTTTTCCTATTTTGCCGACTTCACTCTAGGAGGGAAAATAAACCTTTTCTCCATCTTCTATTTTAGATGTTATTTTGTTCATTTTCTTTCCATCTGAAATCTATTTGCTTTTCTGTTTCAGCGAACACGGCTTTGATTGAGAGTTACTTCCACTTTCTCCAACGCACAAATTGGCAGTGTGCCGATAGCAAGCGCGGAGGTCAGGTAAGATTAATTAGGATTCACTATAGTGGTTTGAACACATTTGCCAAATCCCAGGAAACCAATTTAAACCTGACTGAGCACTTTTTTCACATTTGGTGAATGAGACCCGTTGAGAGCTGGAGATTTATGATTTGACGTTATAAACCTGTTAGAATCTGTTCATGCAGGCGGTTTGCTCCTGAGGGGAGGTTGAAAGTGAGTGTGTGTGAGTTTAAAAGTGAGTGTGCGCTGGCTAAACGATGATGGATGGCGAGGTTTCTACCTGTCATAGTCTTGGCAGATCTCCCCTACAGCCACGAGCGCTTTCAGGTACTCATTGGGCTGGTAGGGGTGGATGTAGTGGAGGGAGCAGCTGTTTCTGGGGTCCCCGTTCGAGGCTGTGAAGTCTATTGCCACCTGGGATATTAATACACACACACACACACACACAGAGATTCACAGCACATGAGTGAGCATGGACAGAAAAAGACATGCTGCTGTAAATACTGAGGAGATTATATCTGATGAAACTTACTGTGAACTGGATTTGGCAGCCTCCCATGATGTAGTCCAGGAAGGAGTACATTTTGATTATCTGTGAGGGGGGGAGGGGGATGATTACATTTAGGACCCAGCTTTGGTTCAAGGTCGGATCTGATAAGAGCTCAACGAGGTGAATGCTGCTGTGGTGGATGCGCGCTGACGCTTGAAATTGGTGCTAAAATAAATCATCAGTTAATTAACAGAAAATTAACTGACAAACAAGTTTGGAGCTTTTTTATTACATCAAACAAACAAAAAAAAAGCTGCAAAATAAAAGAAAAGCTCAGGCTTGTCTGACAGGACAGCAAGCTTTAGCATGAGTGTTTGTGGAAGTAGAAGTAAAATCTGAGCTTCATATGACAAAGACTGAATTAATGGACACTGATCATAAGATTATACCTAATGAAGCACATGTATGAAAAGCAAATGCTACATTATTCACATTCCTGCAACTGCTTTTATATTATTTAACAGGCTGACAGTTCTTAGTTGTAGTCAGACAAAAAGCAAATCAATGAGCCAATCAGGGCAGAGAAGGGGACGAGAAACTGCAAGACAGCAAACGTTAGAGTAGATGTAAAATCAGTCCTTCGACTGTCAGTGAAACAGCCGTTCTCTACAGTCCCCAGAGAGACTGTGCAGGAGAGGAGAGTGTGTAACTTCACCTTACAGTGGTTGAGAGTGACAACACCAGAGTTTCTGTAGTTCTTCTTCTTCATCTGGTATTTAGGGTTGATGCACTCCCACTGGATCTGGGCAAACACACACACACACACACACACACACACACACACACACACACACACACACACACACACACACACAGGTTCATTGTCATGTTGGCGGTGCAGACCTTGAGTGTAAACGTTTGAAATATCACGCTTCACAAACCACACGCTGACAATCTTCCTCATCAATACTGTAATAAATCTGCAGTGTGGACGTTTTCTGTCGCGTTCGACCATGAAAATTCATCCAAGTTTATCCTGCAGATGGCTTTTCGAACCCCAATAAAAGGCCTCTTTTCTAAAGCAGCAGTAAAGTGTTTCAGCTAAAGCAGTAAATCAGTGTCAGACTCCAGATAAACATCAGCTGCTGATATCAGCACATGGCACATTATTTTCTGCAGGGCTGATAAATCTAAACAGGGGCAAATATCAGCTGACATCGATGTTCAGCTCGCTGCAATAATCATTGAAAAGGGCAAAAGCTGTACAATTTTAATGAAAAAAAGATATTATTACAAGAAAAAACCTGTTTGGTTTCCATTAGCAACACCCTAACAAAAGACGGACACGTGTTTACTTTTGTTCCTTGTTTTTAATTTAATGTGATAAGGATAAAACGTGATCAATTGAAGATTAACATCAACACAATGACATTGCTGGAGGCACATCATTTACAGATGGACTGATGTCTATCATCAGAGCATCTCTTTACAGAACGAGCTCAGTTTCATGAATTTGAGTCATATATGTGAAGAAACATTAAGATTTTGTTACAAAAAAAGCTGATTTAAGGGTTCAAAATACCATCAAAAAGCTAATCAGCTGAATCAAAGATTTTATAAAACAAAGTTGTAAAACTGTTTCACATATTTTGAACCTTCTACGATTTAACGAACTGTCTAAGAGTCAGTCCCTGCTCGTTTCAGAAGCCAGCAGGATAATTGGCATTCAGCAGTTCCCTCTCACAAAGATCTTTGACAGATAAGTTCTGAGGAAGGCCCGATCAATCTTGTCCAGCGTGACTGTCCATCCCAGGAGGAATTAATTCCTCTGAGAGTTGCAGGCTCCACAGAGCAAGACCGAGAAATAAGGGATAAAAGAACAAACAGGTGTAAATTTTCTTTGCTTCTATGGGCTTCACTACACTTGACTCGCACAAGTATTCAGAGTTTAATTTTTGGGACTTTGGAAGGACTGGGGTCTGACAGGATCGCCTGATTCTACCAGAAGAAAAACAAAACTAATAAAATAATCAGACTATTCAGTCAAAATTCTTAGTAAGCATTTCATAGTTATGGAATAAAAAGTAAAATAAAACAGAATGAAAAGTCATAAAAATTATCTGAAAAAAGTAAAAATGATCAGAACAAAAAGCAATAAGAAGATGGTAAATTTTTGAGATCTGAAGTCGTTTTCTTATTGAATTTAAAGTCAAATTAATGAGACAATTATAATTTTCAAATTATTTTAATCTCTATCATCATTATGACTGTTTAATCTGACCATTTTTGACTTTATCTTACACTTGTGACTTTTAATCTAAAAATTTATATCGTTTTAAATTATAATTATTTTATGTTTGTGAGTTTTCATCTCAATTATGACTTTTTCAAAAGAGTGACTTTTTATTTGAAACATTTGACCTTTTTTTATTCTCATTTTATTGTTTTTTTCTTATATTTGAAACTTTTCTAGTGTTAATGAAAATGACATTTTATCTTATTATTGACTTTTTACCTCATAGATTAACTTTCGATCTGAACTATGACCTTTTTTTTCATAATCATGAATCACTTAAAAAAAATTCTCATGACTTTCATTCTTTTTGGCCATATTTTAAATTTAAATCTCATGATTAAACTTGAATTTTCGTTTCATGTTTTCTTTATGTTTTGTGACCTGCTGTAAAAACATAAACATTGTCAGGGATCAATAAAGAACATTTGTCCGTTTTCGTGTGTTCCTGCTCACCTGTTTGCCCTCCTGCTCTGCTCTCACCTCCTTAAAGGTGGTCTGAAACTCCCCAATGAAGTCGTGCTTTCCGTTTGTCAGCTGGCAGAAATGATTATTAGACAACCTGTAACTTACACAAACAGTTCAATGCCTCCTAGACACTTTTTTTTACTCTTTAGTGATGATAAATATTGCCAGTAATCAGTTGTTGGTTGTTTGCCACTTCATTCATTTAGTTCCTTTATACTGTGGAGTCTGCTCTATTTGAACTAAGATGAACCATGACTCTTTGCATGGTGTTTTTAAATTGTTGTTACATAACCTCAAGCATCCATCTCAAATGAGAAAGTCTGTATCAGTTTTATCACTGTTTATTGTGTCCATTTACCCTCCCTCTGTTTGTCCTCTCTGTTACTTTTATCATGTTTTCTTTATGTTTTGTGACCTGCTGTAAACATAAACATTGTCAGGGATCAATAAGAACATTTGTCCATTTTCGTGTGTTCCTGCTCACCTGTTTGCCCTCCTGCTCTGCTCTCACCTCCTTAAAGGTGGTCTGAAACTCCCCATGTGTGTCTTTTGTTTTGACAGTAATTTCTGTGTGAGGAGACAAGCGCTCCTCTCTGCAGCCGTGCTTTCCACTTCAGGTTTGAGAGCACAGCTGCTACACTGTCACCTAAACAAACTCGCACATAAACACACACACAGTGGCTCACACAGGGGCTGGTGGCATGCAGGGAAATGCCATGCTGAATGATTGATAAGGGCGGTGTTAGTAGGGGGGCAATGGAGCGGTGAAATATTAATCTGAGGATGCTGAGAGGGACGTGGCTTAGGAGACAGCTTTATGTGTGTGTGTGCGTGTGTGTGTGTTTAGGCGCAATACTTTGTTTCTCTCTAAGGAGCTCGTGGACAAGAAAAATGGCCTCCTTCATCAGTGAAGAGTGCGGGTCAGCGGGCTCATGTTTATTCATGCAAAAGGATAACAGTTTGGAGTATTTCCGATTGTGAGAAAAAGCATCAGTATCCAGGCTGAGTCACGGACTCTTTGGGATCGATAATATTCGATACGCTCGGTCAATAGAGACACTCATTTACACAGAGAAATGCTTCCACCTTTCATGAGGGTTCAGTGGTTGTGAATGAGCCAATTCACGATTAAGCTTTGTGACCTTTGTGTTTGATTTCTCTGCAGCGGCGAGCAATCACGACCAATCCTAAGACGTCTGATTGAAAACAATGACCCGCACTAATCCTCTTATTTCCTGCCTTGTACTTATGCTGCAGAGTGTCCGCACCTGAAGTGTGTGTGTGTGTCTGTTTGCTTTTGTGGTCATTTGTGGTTTCCATGTGTGTCTTTTGTTTTGACAGTAATTTCTGTGTGAGGAGACAAGCGCTCCTCTCTGCAGCCGTGCTTTCCACTTCAGGTTTGCCGAGAGCTGCGAGGGAGAGAGTGATGAAAAAATGAAGAGCTGCTGTTCCATTCAGTGCCTGTTAACCGTCGGCTGGAGAGGGGATGGGAAGAAAAGTGTCGAGGTGAGGAAAGGAGGTGAGGAAGGAGCACAAAGGAGGAGACGCACAGAGTCGACACAGGAGGGTAATACATTTATGCATCGGCCAGTTAAGAGCTGGTGAAAAGGATGCATTGGTCTGAATAGAAATCTCTTTCCTGCCATATCGCACTCTGATGCTTCAAACAGGTAGCCCTGGAAACCACAGCTGATGGCAAGCTTGTGTGTGTATGTGTGTGTATGTGAAAGTGTATGTGTGTGTTAAAGCCCTCGTTTTGCACAACTGAATACGGCCTCATGTCTGCAGCTATAAACACACCGATAGAGTTTCTGAAAGCTTTAGCACATCTCATGTCGGATTGCGCAGGAAGAGGCTGCTTAAATACTGCGGTGATGAGCGGTTGTTGGGCAGCTTTCGTTTTAGCTCAGGTGTTATGCCAAAGAATGCACCCCTGCCGTATAGTGCACCCACTCACTGATCCAGCCGGTTGAAAGTACATAACAAGGCGAAATAATACAAGTTTTCCTTACGTTGGATGTATTCAACAGCGTTTGCTCTTTAATAATTTCATTCAGGCTATTCATATCAAATAGGCGAGATCATGTGACCTAAACTCAACCTGTGGCTCAAAGAGAGGAAATAGACAGAGAGGCTGAAGGCTGTTTTCAGATTTCTAGCTCTGCTTAAATAAGGTAAATATTTCTTGTATGTGGCGCTTTATCAAAGCTTAGATTTGACATTTAGATTAGTTTGCTGCACAGATAAAAAAACACTATCAGAGATGCATTTGCAGGACTTTAGGCGCTTTTTCCCTCTCCTTCCTCCACGCTAAATGATTTGTACCCACTCAAAAGACCCACAATAGGAGATGCTCTGACACAGGGTTTTTACCTCATACCAGCACCTACACTTGAGTATTGACGTTATTGACTTTACTTAAGGACGGATTTTGTGTCCTCCTCAACTCCAATTACAAAAAACTGAGGCCATAATACCCTCAATGACATCTGCTGACCTTTCACACTGGCTGGTCAAGCACTAGCTTACATATTCAACTTATTGACACCAACAAAGATCGTTCAGGTCAGACCAGACTACAGTGTAACAGCTTCTTCAGTCAGTCAGTCAGAGGCAGACACTCACAGTTATGAAACGTTCAGTTACTTTTCTACTCTACTAATCTAGCGCACACATGCCCCAAGAGTTATATTTGTCAACAGAAATGTCAATCATGGCATTATCCTCCATTTTATTCCATCAAATACTGAGTAAAAATAGAAACTGAGCATCTGGGTGTAAATCAGTGTGATGATAACTATAGATGCAGCTGTCGAATATTTTAGTAATAGTATTCTACCTGATATTCCATCGGTTACTCGAGTAATCAGACCCAAATGGCAGACTGAAATACAGTGAGATTTCCTATGTCACAAATCCAAGCTCCAACCCTGGAGCCCCGCAATGAAGGCCAGACTCGGAGATACAGAGGACAAGCTTGTGTGTTAGCATATTGCAGTGCCTCGTAAGAAAGCTAATTATGATATTAACTTTCATCATGTCTCTAAAGACATTAGTGCCTAAGAGCTGAGTAGTTCCTATGTTACCTACTTCTGCTACTACACCGGCAATGTTAGGCTGCAAGCTAGCATGAACAGGAGTGTGCAGAGCAGTGCTTTCTCCGCCCACGACTCAGAGGCGAATTGCTAATGAGCGACTGGAGCTCTGCAGAAGAAAAGCCCCAGCTTATAATTGAGTGCTTGAAAATTCCTCGATCATTTGTTATAATCGAGGTTCTGGGGGAATTGTTTCAGTCCTAAGATAATTATAACAACAAAAAAAGAGTTAGTAAAAAATCTATTTGACAAAAAAGTCTGATCCATGTCCCATCAGTTTACATGTAGGGGGCAGGCTTCATCCCAAACCACAACCAAACAGTAGGGGGCGTTTTAAATGTTTAAACGTCACATTTGGGTACATCGTCCATCCCTTAATGTTGCCTGCTTTTACCTAGCTTAATCTTGTTCATAAAAATGGGACGATAAATGTGCTTTGACCTTCTTTTCATGATGAATGTGGAACAACGGCGAGCCATGGCAAAAAGATCAGCAAACACTGATGGCAAAAACTCTCATCAACGAGGTGAAAACTGGACATAAAGTTTAAGGCGTGCCATGGGATGTTTTATATTTGTGCTATCTGCCCGCCTTGTCTCCAATCTGTACTCAAACTACAAGCACTCCTTTAATAGGGGGAGTTAGTTCAAGGGCGCAGTGTTAATTTTATCTCTTGTAATAAATGCTCTGAGGGGATGAATCCTCTCTGCCTCCATGTGTCTCTCTCTGTGTCTGTTTACCATGCCTGCCTAGGGTGTTTCAGGGTTTTTTTTGGTACATTAGGGGCTGAGTCAGGAACTCCACCTGCCCAGCCCACAAAAGAGGGGTACAAGCACTTGGTACAACCTTGATACCAACTTTTGATTGATGAGCTGATTTAGTGTGAACACAGAAAACATTACAACCGCATTTTGTCTTTTTATGAACTAAAACACTATCACTAAAACAGAAATGTTCTGAACTTTCCAGGACTACAACTATACTAAAATTGTGAAAGTCAAAAATGACTAAACTGACGATGCTCTGATGTTGGTATTGAACGATTTACCTTTAGCTCTCGGTCCTGGTCCCCACTGCAGAGAGTATTCAGAGAAACCTTAAAGGATTTCCAGTTTGGGCTCAGATTGTTCATGACCGTCTATCAGTAAAGAAAACAACATCTTGTATCAATGACACGCATCAGTAGGTGATAAAATGTGTTTTTCTGTGAATTTTATTACCTCAGTTCTGTGAACAAGCGACTCAGTCCCATCATTGTTTATTCTGAAAATCTCCAGAAAAGGATCTGACTTGCTGAAGAAATCCTTCAGAGGGGAAAACACACACACACGTGAGGTGTTGCATCAGAGCTTCTTTTGATCAGTATAAATCATTCACACACTAACAGAATCATCTTTTCACCCTGTTTCACCCTTTTTTCTCTCATCTTTCTTTTATGCATCCCCCTCCCTGTCCGCTCTAATTTACCCTCCTTACCCTCTTTTCCCTAAGGCATAACTTGTTTGGGTTAGTCATCCGTGGCTCTCTCTCTCTGTGTGTGTAAGTGTGTGGAGGCTGAAAATTAATATAGTTATCTATGTGAGTTGAGATAGAGGGGCGGGGGTTATTGGGGGAGAGAGGGTGGCCACCTATCTCAGCAGGCCTCCTAACGCCAGATTGCACTCTTGTGTATTATGCGCCAGTTGCTTCATCACTAAATCCCACAGCCCCCCCACCCACCCACAGGCTTTTCCTTCCCACACACACACACACCTGCCTCTTCCCATTTCCTGAACATTAATTCCTCTCATGTTTAAAGAAAGACACACAGCCTTTCTCACGCTGCTGCACAAACCTTGTCGTCCAGCTTACGAGCGCTGAAGGAGAGTTCGACATAATCGTCGTTTCCCGACAACTCCTCTGCTGTCACCTTTAGAGTGGGGGAGGAGGAAGGGAAGAAGGAAGGAAAGGAGGTTAAGAGAGGCAGCAAGAGGAAAAGTAGATCAAGGGGGTGAGAGAAAATGAGATGGAAATGAGGAAGAGAGCAGACTGAATAGGCAACATCGTCAAATTAATTATCCACAGAGTGTCTGAGTGCAAGAGGTAGTGCATGCTTGATTTGAGTGTTTGTGTTTGTGTGTCTATGAGTGTGTGTGTGATTGACGTTTTGGAAACACCGTCATACCGTTATGGAAGACTTCCCCGCAGTGTTTCCCTGCTTGAGTAGAGCTTTGGTCAGTTTCCTCTGAGAGACGATCTGAAACAAAGACACGCAGCCCGCATTAAACCCACGCAGCGTCTCCCTTCAGACAGCCCGCCCTGTTAGTGTCACCCCGCCGTCACCTGGCACTTTTTCTTTATGTTAGCTCTCTGCCTTTTTACACACTCAGTGGACATAAAGCAGCACAGTTGAGTCACCTCTCTCTGTTCCTGTCAAATGTAATTTTCTCTTTGATGGTATCACCGGTTGTATCTGCCATCTCTTTGACTCTATTCACCTTTCACTTTTCTGAGCAGGGTGAAGGAAAAATCTGGTTACAGTGAGGGCCAGGACAGACAAATAAATACGACAACATTGGAAGGTTAAGTTTGTTTAGTATTAACCGTTTTATTTAGTATTTCTGACTCTGAGTGTGTTCAGTCTTGTTTAACTTCTGTTTCCCTGCCTTCCTGGTTGTGTACCTGCCTTGTTTGCACCTGTGGTTTGTTCTCGCTTTGCTCGTTACCCTTGTGTGTATTTAGTCTCTGCGCTTCCTCCCTCCTGTGTCAGATCATTATCAACCTGTCCATGCTTCCTCCTGGTTATCCAGGTGTCTTTATGTGATTTTGTTACACTTTTTCTGGACTTATTTTATTATAATTATTTTCCTCTTATCTTCTGTATAATAAACCGTCAACTGCACACGGGTCCTCCTCTTTAATTTGGTTCTACATGTGACTAACAACCTGACATATAAAACATGAAACCATGTTTTAGCAGGATATCATTACTCAGATTCACAAAGCGTTGATAATCGTGCCCTTTTTAATCGTATGAACCCAATCAAGCAACTGAGATAAAGGAAATAGTCTCTGTGAGTGGAAACAAGATGTAACGCCTCGTTTTCCACTTCTTTTTAATCATATCAATTTACTTCACTATCAAATAAGCTGCTGAATTGAATTAATCGCCTGTTTAGCAGGTTGTTAGCTCAGCAAGCTGTCAAAAGCTGTTTTTTTAGGCTTTTTGTGTTAACTGGGGAGGATTGGACTGTGGATAAACCATTGACCTCCATCTTCCGTCAGTAAACTGATTTGAAGGGATTTTCTCCACTTTCTGAAACCAACACTGCGCAGTAAGGTTGTACGCACTCCACCACTTGCACAGTAGTGTTGTACGCATTTGGTGGGAGAGTCGCTGTGATGAAGCTCAGCTAAAGAAGCGTATCCCCCAGGCGAGCTATGCAATCCTCTTACACCCATAGGCTGTATCAAGTGTCAATCACAGAAAACATGAACCCCCTTATAACTTTTAAAAATGGAGCTGCACAGAAAAAAGAGGACTTGGGCACAAACCAGTCTTACAGTAACTACGTGTCAACATCACAACCAGGGGGGAGAAAAATGTATGTTCTGTGTAATAAACTTCTAAAGTTTGTCCACAGCTCCATAGGGATTGCTGGAGGAGGTGGGATTTATGACCTATACTACAGTCCGTCACCAGAGGGTGCTGTTCTAGGAGTGGCTTCACCCAGTGAGGAGGCAGACGGCGTCCATTCAATATACAGTCTATGGGATAAAGCAGGAAATAGGGGAAGGGTGGAGGAGTAACATGTGCGAGAGGAGACGCCTAACCTCTGACCTTGACCCTGGCTGTCCATGTGAGGCATATTCTCAGTATATGGGGCACTTACTTGGGCCACAATACCACTAGTGTCCCAATTAAAACACTTTAAGCGTAGAGTAGATTTCAGCTTTATGTGCCCCCTGTGGACAAACCGTTTTATCTCATCTTTTTGTTGTTTGTCTGTTTTAGCTGTACTCAAAACTCCTATAAAAGTCCTCTAATTTTTAGGGTGTGAGTGCAAACAGTCAAATTTTTCACCCCAACCTTACCTGTGTGAGATTAGGGGATGCAGCAGGGGATTTGTTGCTCTGATATAAATGCAAAAACTCTCATTGCAGCATCTGTCTGTAAACATTAGGGCGTCAGCGGCATGCTTTTGATGATACGTCCCGCCTCCCAAGACTCTTATCTCCCCACCCTGCTTATCACCTGCCTTATCCAACAGGGATGACTTCACGCTATGAGAGATATGTATGAGAAAGAGTTGTTTTAAAATTTCAGAAGTAGAGATTCTCTGAACGTCTAAAAACACTTTTCCCTCCTTTTATAAACAACTCAAGCCTCGTCCAGGAGCATCAAACTATCGATCATTTATTTTTTAGCCGTTTGGAGGCAGCAGGAGAAAACTTGTCATCACAACACTGACATATTACTTATAATTTAGTGGAACTACTTTGTTAAAAAGCGGCTAAAAAGCCACATTAGCATTCATTAGCAGCTTTGCCTTTTCTAGCCAACCAAACAAGCATCCGATGTTACCCTCTCAGAAGACCTTGCCTCAGGCACTAAAGAGACCTCCTGAGAAATATTTGTGTCTATTTAGCTGCTCAACGCTCAAATATGCTCCGCAGCTATCTAAATAACTGTTGAGACCCCATACTAAAGCCCTACAGGGGGCTAAATCTCAGTGGCTCCATTGTATATTCAAAGTCATGTGAGCCACTGCTAACATACACCCTAAATGCTAATAAGAGCTTATTCAAACCCATGTTTTGTATAACTGCTTACATGCTGTGTTTGTGTCGATACTGCTGACACAATGCATCTGCAGCATTTCTCCTGCTGGGTGCATGTAGCAGCAATGACAACACTATGGGGGGGCTGCATCTGCACATGTAAATAGATTAATGATAGAGTACAGCTGCAGCAAATGGCACAAGGCTGCCGTCACTTACTTAAACAGCGCCTTTTGTGCTTTCATATCAAGATTATTGCTATATTTTTCCAAGCAAAGGCTCAGACAGACCGTATCAAGACTCGTAAAATGTTGTAATATAGCTTCAAAACCTCCCCGACTCTCGCCTTTTAAATCCCCTTTTTTCTTTGTCAATTATCTCCCTCCTCACCAGTGTTGTAAATCCACCGGCTTTATGCTGCTGATAGCCTCTCCCACAATGAGAAGTGGAAACAAACACTTAAGAGCGTGTTGGACTCTTTGTTCTCCCTGTCTCCCCCTGTAGTGCTCCCACTCACTGTGATGTAGTTTGTAATTTCCTGAAATCAACTCGCTCCGCTTGTTAATGAGCACTGCTGCAATTTAGATTTTCACTTCAAATGCGTTTTCAATATTCCTGAAGCAAGTGCGTACAACAAATCTTAAAATACTGATTACAACTCCGGCATTAAGAAAGGCAAAACACCATTAAGTAAGAAACAAGGCCGTAGTTATTAGCATATGCAAATACAAATGTGCCCTGAAAACATAATTCAAAGCACCCTCTGGACTTCTCCAACCAAGGACTCAAGGACAGCAGCAGCTCTGTGTAAATGCAGAAAGCGACAATCGGCAACCTCAGGCGAAACAGAAACACATTAGGATTCCCAGCACGACTAAAGTTTTCCCCTCCAATTTAAAGTTGCTCTCTTGCCTTACAATTAAAGTCACATTACCTGATTCCTACATTTAATATCCCAGCAGGCTAAATGCACTCTACAAGGATTAATAATCCATCCTGCAGTGCATGCAGGTTGCATGCAATAATCTGGAACAGACCAAAGTGTTGTACAGCACTAAAAATAACACATACAGAGGATCAGTTCAGCTGTACTTACTCATGCACATGTATGCTCTTCTGCCTTGCATTCACCTGCACTGACATGCTCATGTCATCTTTTTTCTCTACTCTCTACTAAATGCACTCAAACATGTGTTCAGATGAGCAGATGTCAACGTCATGCATCATTTAGCTTGTGCACAGACTTCGAGGAAATCTCTATTTCACTGAAAAGTACACAGACAGCAAAGAGCTCAACATGTTGCAACCATTCTGGTCCGTATCAAGGATGAGGGGATACAGCATGTGCCACTGACCTGGCCCAAGGTGCACTCCATGGCTCCCAGGAAGTCGGCATCACGTAGGCCGTTGTTCCCAGAGCTGATGTCATGCAGCTCAAAGCGAAGCCTCTGCACCTCCTCGAAGTAATAATCCACCAGGAAGATCTTGGAGAAGACCGGACCGCTGCTGCTGCGAATCACCTCTGTGCGGTCTACCTGAAAACACACACACACAAACACACACATACACACACAGACAAGAGTGAATAAACACACACTCCAACTTAACCCTGGGCTTCTCAAAGTGTGATTAATGAGTCCATGAGGAAAATGAGGAGAACTCCATAAATCAGTGTACAAACTCCATTATTTAGCCTGTGACTGCATGCATCCGTTAATTGAACTGACTTCTCATGTAAAACCAAACATGAATGAATGAGCCGCTACCATGCATACACTGTATTAAACATGGATGAAGACTTAGCTGGTACATTTAGAAGCATAGTTAAGTCGAGCTACAATTAAAGCTCCATCAGGCGATTTAGTGTCCGTCCCATTTCATAAGAACAGGGCAAGAATCGATTTATTGACAAAATTATGTCCACCTCTGCTATAGGGGTGGGCAATAAATTATCATTCACGATATATCGTCAGAAAAATCCTCCATGAGAAATTTTTGCCATCTCATGATAAATACGATAAATTCAAGGTGATGACATAAGTGCGAGCGACGGACTCGCAGCCATAGCCCACACAGAGCAGAATAACAAACGAACATGGTGGTTAAGTATCTTATTTGACTACTCCAACGGGTGTTCTCAAGACAAAATAAGTCAAAAATATTAATTGGAATTACAATATTTTTATCGGGACTTTTATCGTTATCACCAGAATGGCAAATTGTATCGTGAGATAGTTTTTAAACCATATCGCCCATCCCTACTTTGCTACAGTCAGAGGTGATATGCGCCCTTCAACTTCTATCTATCAGGTCGTCTTTACTACACGTCTCCAAAACAATGCATATATGCTCAACTTCTGGCGTGTTAATTGTGGAGCATGCCCAGAGTGCTTTGGTCTCTTTCAGTCAGATTAAATCACTTACATGGAAGAGAAAATCCATAAGATCTTAAAATAACGTGTTACTCATCGCTTTATTACTTTTTAGCTACAGTAAAAGCCTGAATGTGTGAAGGAATAATTACAGAGCTTCTATTGTACAGTGGGGAGCTTCATTGTCAGATGAGTTTGTAGTTAAAAGTCAGCTGAGGTATGAAGCCTTCATTTCACTTCATTTCACATTCAGCTTGTTGTCTCTGTGCATTGATTAAGGACCTCTGCAGACTTTTCAGAATCGCAGCAATTATCACAAATACTATTACCACATTGTTTACGCTTATCGGACTCCAGAATTGGGGGATATAGATTTTTTTTTGATGGCTTAAATCCTACAAACGCTCTGACTCAACAGAGAGGCGCCTGTAGTCACAACATTGATCTCACATTTTCTTTTCTACAGCCGCCTGTCACAGCAAGAAAAAGCAAGAAAAAGCCAAACAAAAGTCTGCCTCAGCGCCACTGACAACACAAATTCAACACAAGCAGCAACAACTGGGTCTCTTATTGTTGATAACCCTTTGGCACACATGCAGCACAGGCAATGGCATATCATCAGAGTGGGAAACACAAACAGATTTGGCCTTTTTTTGACACTTACCTCAATAGGTTGGCATCTCATTAAAGGAAAACACACACGCCCAGTGGCTTAAGCACTTTCTCTGAGAGATTATCCAATTAAGAGCCTCTGAGTCTGATGGATAGTGATAACATTTGTCCATTCCAACACTCCCAAAGAGGGGCTTAAATCAACACACACACACACACTCATACACACATACATGCACCACTTATCTGTGCAAAAAGCCTGTGTGGCATCTCTACAGACGGTGTAATGCTGCACTTCTTTCTTTGCACCTGATCTGCAGCCTCTGTGGAATAGGAGTGTGTGAATGTGATATGTTGAGTGTATGCCTGCGTGAATGTGTGAATCTGTCCATGAGTGTCTGTTATTGCAGGTCACTTAAGCACTAGATGTGTGAGGGTGTGTGTAAAGAAAGATAGATTCGCAGCATATGTCATTCTTCTCAGAATAAAAGGAATGAGAAATACAGACAGATAAGGACCTGCTTCATTCAGATTTATCTCCATTCTCTGCCACCCAAAGTTCAGCTAATATGTGTTTTAATAATTCAACAAGGAGATTCCAACTGAAGTTTCTGAAACAGCAGGTCGAGTCCTGGAGGAGAAAGAAAAGTAAAACACTTCTCCTCAATTTTATCTTCCAATTTTTAGCTCGCTATGAAATCTGTCTTTGGGAGATGTTGTCTCCATCTGTTGGATTATAATCAGCCTGCTACTGCATGCTGAGAGAAATGAGTTTGGTGCTCAACTGGTGCAGCTTTTCTGTCCCAACTCCAAGGTTTTGGATGGATTCTTCACGCTCCACATGCATGTCTACAAAAGTTGTCATTTTGGTTGCCTTCTGCTGCAATTAGCATCCATTATTTCTGCAATCCAGCGTGAGTAGGTGAGCGGCACAATCATAGTCCTTGATTACTCACAATCAACCATCCAAATATGAATTCACTGATGTGCTTCAATAATTGAGTGTTGTCTTCGCAGAAAGATTAATGTGACTCATCTGCAGAGGAGATGGAGACACTTCTGATGCCACTCTGCTTGGTGTGCCGGGTCATGGACAAATGAAGTGGAAATTATGTTGAATTGCTAGTTTGTGTATTTCATTGAAATTGTCTCTAAAGGTTGGATTAACTTTGCAGAGCTGGAGAAGAAAGAAAGGGTCACTGAAAGGTAACAGTAATGTTATATAACCGGGGAAATAGTCGTGTAACTCATATCAGTGCCAATTACTTCCTGGGACTCTGTGGATTTCCTCTAAAAAGAGGGAAAAGTGGGTCGAATTTAGCCTGGGAGTGTATCAAACTGCTCAAAGTAAAATATCTGCATAAACACTTGAGCCGATGTGGCCGTTGTGCTCTGATTTTCTGCTCATAAAGCAGTCTGTCTAAAGTGAAAACACACCTTTAGACTTTCACCATCCCTTCCCTGTGCATACCTCAAACCACTGCCCGTGTGACTGCATCTTAAGCACCACGCAGGGATCCGGTTTGGAGAGAGCGTCACGATCTGAGATCCCCCGGCAGGCCACTCTCAGCTCCACTTTGGTCAGACATGGAGAGCTGATGAAGCCCAGCGTGGCCTCTGCAGACTCGTAGATGTTACTCATGCTTAAAATCACACACTGAAGAGAGAGACAAAGAGAAAAAAACATAAAGTGATATTATAAACAGATTGATGCGTTGGTGCATGCACATATAAACAGATTTATAGATAGATATTTGTACAGATTTGTAGATGCTGCAGGATATTCGCTTTGACATGAGCAGGTGCAGTAACCCTGACTAAGCAGACAGTGCTCAAACTGTTCAAGGTCAGTACTCTGGAGCCACAAACTACTACACAAGGTCCCCAAATACACACACAACTGTGCATGCGAGTGCAAACACACACAAATATGCATCCAAACATGTAACTGAGAACATGTGATTGAATACATGTGCACATTCCTGAAACAAAAGCATGTACACACACTCAAACACACACAAACATATACAGTGTGCCCTGCTGAGTAACTAGAACAAATGCCTGTGTTTCTCCTCAGGTTTCCACTGGCTGTATAGTGTTCACAGTCCCCAAATAGAATACTGACAAGCATCTAATCGCTATGACACAAACATTTCTGCCCTCATAATGTCAAATGAGTTCAAATCAAGCCTCAATAAAAGCCTGAAGATACCTGCCTCCATAATGAGTCTGATGTAATTCTTCAGAGACATTAAACTACAGGCTACATGTGATTTACTCCAGTCATTCCAGCTGTAGAGGATTCCTCGTTTGTAAACACAAGCTGTGGTCAATATCACACAGTAATATCTGAATGTGTCACAAGGGATCTCTCCCCGGATCTTTAAATGCCCAAAACATCCATCAACCCTCCCACTCTGGCATTTTTAATTATTCTGCTAGATTAAAACTTTCATCAGGGCCATGTGGGCGGGTACAAACTCAGTTTGATTGACGTCATCTGTGCCCTCCTTCCACTTTAATTGCACCTTTTGGAGACAAGTTACATGCACCTTTATAGCTCCTTTAGAAGCTCCTAATGGCACACAGACTCTCATGCCTAGATGTAATATCTATCCACCTCTAACCTAAACACATAGCTAAGACCTATGATTATTCAGCTGTGGGGGTGTGCAAGCAACTCATGCACAATATACTCAAAGACTTCATAAGACATGGATGTAGTCTCTGTGGTATCACTTTTCTGAAGAGGCGTTATGAGGCAGAGAGGTGCCGTTAGCGTGTAGGAAATGGCCACTCACACCAACTACCAGCTAATCTAGCGCAACGGTGAAGATGAGGCCAAAGCTTCATCAGTTACATCACTTATAATATAAAGTTTTGCGCATTAAACTAGTCCCAATGTGAACAAATTAGAATATTTAGCAACATCTCATGGTGAGACTCTTGATTATAAAGCTCCCTTGCTCACCCCTGTCAGTAAGGCGGCAGTGGTCAAGGAGCTCCTGTGGTGTATGATGAATATGAATCTTCATGTCAAGTTTTAACCGCCCAAAAAAATCTATTGATGCACATTTTTAACACAAAATCGACTCTCTTCTTCTCCAACTTAAACTAATGCATTACAGGCAGCCACTTATTAATAAACACAAAAACCCAAATGTTACTATTTTGTTTGTTTTGGGTTTCGGTAGAATCATAGATAATAAACTTACTGATACTGTATTTGATTTCTACCAAGCTTGCTAGGTGCTGCTGAATTCTACATGCTACGTCTTTGGCTGTTAAATCCTGGTGTAGGGCTTGGAGATGATAATTTATTTTCCATATCAGTCGATATCGATATAAATATCACGATATAAAAAATGAAATTTAACAGTACTTATTGGTAGCATGTCTTTTGCAATAAGACAAGCTACTGTATTTTGTCGTAAGGCGTGGCGCTAGAGAAAGTGGACTGAATGGTTGGCTGTTTCGGATGCACAGGCACCATGGGCTCCTTGCTCCGCTCTGGGTTTGTAACCTTTTGTAACCTTTTGTATTGACGATGTCATTATCTGTTGAGCCTTCATCTGCATTTCTGCCGAGGGTAACACTCATTTTCTTTTTTTCTCACTGACAGTGCTGTCAGCTTCACGTGTTGAAGTGTTATGGTTGCATGTAGCTGCAGCCTGCTACTATGCAGTCGTTTGTGTACTGTGTTCTAATTCAGCACGATTGGTTCAGCACGAAGCGGACCCAGAGCAACTCCCCTTTTCATTGGCTATTTGTATAGTCTACCAAAACATGGCAGAATGCTGACTATAGAAAAGCATACTGACCGTGTTTTATATCGATATTGAGGGAAATTCATTTTCGATATTTGTCGTTATTGTTTTATCGTACAGCACTATCCTGGTGAAGAAATTGCCATTCGGACACAGGGGGTCTCATTGTGAATCTTTCAACGACTAATAAGTTAAACTGTGAGAGCTAACTGTAAGAATTGCCACAGCCATTGTCAATGTAGTTAAAACAAAAATCAGTCATCACTTATATGTCCTATATCAGCCCCTTTCACATAATAAAGGCTGACACTAAATAAGCTGATTTCAACCACATTTAAATGTTGAAAAATTACTTTACCAGCTCTATAAGGTAAAAGCTTATATGCTAAATATATCCAGGCTAGCTTTTCAGTTTCAGGTGTGCTGAACTCAGCTAAATACCTGGAGACTGTTGCTCCATATTTAATGGAAAGATAATTCAAGGATTGATCTTCACATCAACGACTCACTGTCACAGCAGTCTACTTTATCAATAAAACATAAAAAACCCTCTTAGAAGGTTTACAGGAAACAGCTGACAGATACTTCAGCAAAGCCTTGAATTTATTAACATTACACTTAAAACACTGTACTGCATGTATATTTAACTTCAGGATAAGTAGATTCAGTTTCAGGCCCGTATAGTCCAGAGGTAGCACATCAACTCAGCTAGCCTTAAGTTCAGTTAGTGTAAGCTAACGGGCGACCACAGTTCTGATGTGTTAGATGGTACTAACTGAATATTAATGCAGTGGTCTGGTAGTATCATCCTTGGGGAAAGGGGCTCTCGGAACTGGGTCTGACTCTGACCTGAATGCCTCTCTTTCTCTCTCTCTCTCTGTGCCTCTGTCTTTCTTCCATAATTCATGTTCCATGTGTGTGTTTGGCTGCTGGTGATTATTTTTAGCTGAAGCACACAGAAACGAGCTGCGCACGTAGAAACCGACATGATCAGGGCAGCAGGGCAGGTGCGTGCAGCAGAAATTGAAGTGGGTGAAGGTGGACTGTAGGAGGATGAGTTTCAGTATGTGCATGGCGGTGTGTGTTTGCAGTGGGGAGCAGCAGATGCTTGTTACGGTTGACAGCAGATGACACTGACAGTGACAGAGGATGTGCAAGATTCCTACTGCTGTAACCACTGAGTTGAGACTCTGTGCAGGATTTCCAGCTAAGAAGCAGCTTCTGATTTGTTGCCAGAGGTGACAGAATTTTTTCCTTCAAACTGTGTTACTGGATCCAGGAAGGATTCTTGGAGAGGAGGGGAATCCCTAACAGTAGTAAGACTGACAGCTGACTTATTGAGCCTGAAGATATATAGATAGGTTATTGATCCCTGAACGGATTGCATTGGTGCAGTGCACTAATGTGGAATAGGGGTCGACTGATGTTGTTTTTTCAGGGCCGATACCAATAGTGATTATCAACATTTGAAACTGACAATCAAAAGTTTTTCAACATCATAATCGTATCAATATACTGGAGTGAACAGCCAACCAGTTGCTCTTATAGTTCAGTTTTGTAACACTGTCAGTTGATGTCTAGCCAATCAGGTAGTGTTGTGGGCGGGACTTTCAGTGAGACATAGTGGTGCAAGACAACAGATCCACAAGGCAAAACACATTGGCAACAGAGCTGAAGTTGTGCACTTTTGATAGGGGTCAACTGTCGATGCCGATACCGATAATGTGAGTGCAGGTTGGCCGATATATGATGCCGATATTGTTGCTGTTGTATCTATTGCTTTGCATATGACAAAATGCAACAATTCTATCAAGCTATAAGATTAGAAACAGCATTGATATGTTTAAACTAGTATTTTATTAGATAAGTGAAATATTTGGCTTAGTTAAACATCACTATGGAGAGCTCTGGGGTTTCAATTGATCTATCTGCCGATATTGAGAAATTTAAAAAATAAAAGGTAAATATTTGAGTTTGAATTTAAAAGGAAGTTATATTTACAGTATATCCATTATGCGCATAAAAATAAAAATCTGATATCTTAACCAGCTGGGTGTTTTAGATAGATTTTTGCCACAGATTTCAGACCGTGACAGGTATTTACACCAGGAGCAACATTAAACTGAATTATTTTACACAATATGACAGAATTTGTATGAGATAATGGTCAGTAACTGTCATCTGTGATTGGAAAAAACATTTTTTTGTTTAGAAAAGATTTTTGTGATATTTTAAGTGCAGAGTCAACTAGAAGGCAGATACAGATAGTCTGATAATCAGCCGGGGCAAATGATCAGTGTACCTCTACTGAGAACAGTTTAGGGTCTTTCTTTTGAGGAAACATTTCTTCAGTCTCTACAAATTGAACCACAGAACATCTTTCACTCTTATGACATGAATTTTACCATTCTCACAATGTTATATTTAAAAGATGCAGCCATCTCTGATAAGACTGTAAATATGCCATAATAGGAGGCTGAAGCCCTTGAAACAAAGTGATTCAAATGCCCTGAAAATTGTATGCAAATCAAATTATTGACAAACTCAAACCAGAATAGTCATAATTGATTGTTAGGCAGTGTGAGATCTCTTACAATCATTCCAAGGCTCCTCTCAGCCTGCTCTTACTCTCCACACTGACACAATCAATCCTCTCAGAGCTCGATAGCCATGACCTCTGACTTTGTGAGAGTGTGTGTGTGTGTGAGACTGTTCACCTTCACATGTTAACGTGTGTACAGTGACTGTGACAGATCTGACACTAATGATTTGACCACAGTAAGGTCCATAACACTTAAGTAGACTGTAATTGCTCTGTCACACATTCACATATTGATTATCAGACAAGCGGTGATAACATCGGCCTGCAGCCACAGCATCAAAAACTATCTGACGTGTTATGTAACACTTTGTGGAATATTAATCATGCAAGGTGACAGCTGTTGAAGACAGGGTGGACATCTGAAAGGCAGTCGAGTCTGAGCAAAGGCAGAGAGGAGTATCAGAAGTGAAGCAGTCTGCTGTTGCAAACTCCCTGTGCTATTAGAGCTGACAGAGAGACAGAGGCAGGCAGAGAGTGAGGGTTGCGAGAAGGGGGATTAGAGAGACTGGGTGAGAGGAAAAAGCTGGAGAAAGGCGGACAAGTGAGAGTGAGAAAGGAGAAGAGAGCAGATTTCCTCCTCTCATAGGGCTTATCTTGTCTCATAGCACTCTAGTCAGAATTAAATTACAGCATATCTGCTAAGATAAGCCTACAAGGTATTTTCCAGTGTTTCCTTGAGTGGAGAATTTCATAAATCACAGTGGATTTGTACCTTACAGCGTGATCTTAAAGCACTGCTTGTTTTACGAATTTTATGCAACAGAATAATTAATAAACCCACATGAGAAAAAGTCACACAAACTGCTCAGTCTTTAGTATGATGCAGGTAACCGCTGGATCATGCAATAAACAACTGATGTCGTGTCACTTATCAGCACATCTAAGAAAAATGCCTAGGACAGATGTTTGCAACAGTCCACATCATGCACCAGGTAAGACATGCACCATCTGGGCTGCAGCTGAGAGAAACTCACCTCAACGACCTGGAGAAAAAGATCCGAGCGGAGCTGAACAACTTTACCGCCGTTTAGTTCACAATCACGGATGCCTCAGCGTCTCCGGACCCATCTCCCTCCCCTCACTCTCTTTGTCTATATGTTTCCCTCCCCTCTTACACCGCAGAGCTCAGCCGCTTTTGGCGCTGACAGCCTCACAGAGATGCTCTCTGATTCCCACGGGGCTTGCACGGTGAGGATGCGCTCCCCTCTAACGCCTGGGTTGACTCTGGGTGAAAGATGGGGAGGAAGAGGAGGAGGAGAGGAGGAGGAGGAGGACGGTGCGCCACTTAACTGGAGTTTGTAATTCGCCGGCTCCATCGGGGGCCGCAGAGAGCGCACCAAGCCGAGGGACCAACAGCCTTTGAGCATGGTGCATCAGCGCCATCTAGTGGACGCACATCACAATAAAGATGTTACACTTTCAAATTGGTTTTCTGGTTCTCATCTTTGATTGGTTGCGTTGCGCCTCGCCAGTTTTATAATAGGGAATGACCGCACACCTGAGACCACTTGGTTGTCAATTTGAGGTTCACGCTGTGCCAAAGAGATTCATGGGTTCAGAAGAATTTCAAACGTGTTATTACAGCTTAGGAGGCGGTTTAACTCTCGAAATTACCATAAAGATAAATATCAGAAAACTGTTTAGAGATGCTTAAACTTTTCTTTTCATTTTCATGCTTTTTCCCTGGTGGAATTTATCACGTTATCACCCTTGTTTCCGACCACATTTAAAGGAGCTGTGATTTAATTACTCACACCGTGGCACACAGTATTTTCTTGAATGCAACAGAAGTTTACATGAAACACTTTTTAATTAGATTAAATAGCGCGGATTTTTTGACTTACCGCATTTCCCACATTCATTAAATTGTTGAATAAATTCCAAAAATCACTGCAGCTCTATATCTCAAATCTCACAGTCTTGGCGTAATAGTCAATTTGACGCGCACCCAGTTCTTACATGGCATTACAGCTTTATCTCCATCCTGTAGGCTTAGGCATGGCGCCACATTATTAACAAATCAAGGCATTGATTTAGAAGGCAATGATTTTTAAGAGGATATAGTCTAAAACGGATTTGTGTGGATCTTTTGAAAGCCCATTTATCCTGTTAAATCGGCCAGGACAAGTGTGCCCTGTTGCAAAATGTTTCGTCAGAGTAGCTTTGCCCCATTAGACTATTTGGTTCATTATTTAGACTATATATCAAAATCAATTACAATAGTAATTGAAATGATAAATCTGTTGTCTGAGTCACTATTTGGCATGTTTTTCTGTTTGAACCCGTTGCGCGCACCCACTCGAGATCTGTCACTTTGCGGTGGATGAGATCATGCCATGTCTGGAGCAGGGGCGCCCAGCTTTGTGCGGTCGGACGTGGACCACGCCCCGGCCACGGCGTGCGGTGCGGTGCTGTGCTGTGCTGTGCTGTGCGGTGGTGCACCACCAGGCTAGCTTAGCACACAGCCGCTACATCCGGGCGCTCTGCTCGGTGTACAAACCCTGCGAAGATGGCGACTTCAGGGAGGAGTGCGTTATTATCCTCCACCTCAGCTGGACCCAAGAACACACTGGAGAGCGCCAACACAGAGGAGGAGGACGGACAGGACTTATGGTGGGCGAAATATTATTAAAGCCGAGGGTTAGTGAGCAGGCTTTGTGCGCACAGGGGATCCATTGTGCTCTGAGGAGGATGGTTTGACAGCTAGTCTGCTAACGATGCTAGCTGGCATCAGCACCAGCCTGAGTGGACGCCTTAGCTCCTCGCTGTCACTCGTTGTTTTTAATGAATGAATTAGCCTGTTTGTAACAGTAGCTCTTCTGTCTGCAGGTCCACCATCCTAAGTGAAGTGTCAACCCATTCAAGATCAAAGCTACCGTCGGGGAAAAATGTCCTGGTCATGGGTGGGTATCACTGTGTGCATGTCTGCAGTCCTTCCAGGCTAGCCAATAGACATCATTAGCCTGGGGTAGCTGCTGAGCTCTTTATAGCAGACTTAATACAGCCTTATAGTGAAGCTAGCTCCTCTCACACTCATGGTGTTTAGATGATTTAACTGGGTTTGTCCGCGAGCGCTAAGGGACAGGTGTATTTTTCCGAGCACCCACACTCGCGCACGAGCGGCGGCGCGCGCACGGTCCCTCATCTTGAAAGAGGAGAGAGAGTCAGGGCCGCTTTGAAACACTGCAAGTCATTCTAGCATCCAGTGATGCTAGCTGCAGCTAGGTGGAGATGATGCTGAGGGGAGCAGACAGACACACTATCAGCCTGTGTGTGTGTGTGTTTTTGAACGAGGCCACGAGGCTTTATAAGGCTGGAGCAGACACGGTGCCTCCCTGTCTCGCTCGCTCCTCGTGCCCCTAATGCTAAGCACGCACACATACGCGCACGTAAACACACATTGTCCGCACATCCGCCCGGGATAATCCGCAGCCTGAAACCCATTCCAGCTAATCAGCGAGCTGGTTTCCGATGTGGAGAGTGTTGTGCTATCCATGACAACATCAGCAATCTCTGCTTTATGATGCACCGAGTCCCCCTGTCGGTTTGACTCATTATGGCACAGAGGAAGAAGAGCTGCAGACAATAACAACAATGGTGGGCTGTCAGCTTAGAGGTGCACACTGATGCTGGGACAGGTGCAGACCATCAGCTGAAGGTAGATAGATAAATAGATGGTGCTGTTGTGTTTCCAGCATGTCCTGCCTGAATACACCCCCAGCTGTTTTTGCTCTTATTATCTGTAAGTAGCTCAAGATGAAGCAGAAGCATGGCCAACAGTCTTAATGGTGAAAGTGTCAGCATGTTTAATTAGAGTATGAAGCTTGTTAACATAAAATAGTTTTTATTATCTGGGTTGAATTCAATTTTTTGTTAATGCTCCTACTCAGACTCCATTTACAGTGAATGCAATAATACTGCGCTTTGTCATGATGCCAAAATCCAAATATATTCAGCTTAACTTATGACAGATGTTTAAGTTTCATATAGGGCTGGGCGATAAAATTATTTCCCCTCAATATCAATATCGATAGTCGACATTCTGCCACGTTTTGGTAGGCTATAGGAATAGCCAATGAAGAGGGGAGTTGCTCCAAGTCCGCTTTGTGCTGAACCAATGGTGCTGAATTAGAACCAAGTAGCAAACGACTGCATAGTAGCAGGCTGCAGCTACACAAAACCATAGCACTTTAACACGTGAAGCCGACAGCACTGTCAGTGAGAAAGAAAAACAGAAAATGAGTGCTACCCCCAGCAGAAATGCAGGTGAAGGCTCAACAGATGACAACATCGTCGACAACACTGGCACGGAAATGTCCGTGGTGTGGAGGTGTTTTAGTTTTTTGAGGTCGGACATGAAGCAGAGTAATGTGCACTGCAAATTATGTCGAGTACATGCTCTCACAAAGTCGGGATATACCTCAAATCTTTTTTACCACCTGAAGCAGTGCTACACGGTTGAGCATGCGCGATGTTAAAGGTTACAAACCCTGAGTGGAGCAAGGAGCCCATGGTGCCTGTGCAGCCGAAACAGCCGACCATTCAGTCCACTTTCTCTATCTCAACGCCTTATGACAAAACGTCAAAGAGACTCACAGACCTCACAGATGCAGTAGCTTATTGTAGTTCAAAAGACATGCTACCACTAAGCACTGTTAAATTAATTTTTTTATATTGATATATATATATATTGATATTAACTGATATGAAAAAAAATATATATTGTGATAAACTTTTTCCCATATTGCCCAGTCCTAGTGTAGTAGTTTTCCTGGTTTTTGCTAAATGTACAAAAAGAGTTGTCTCTTCAGACTGTCAGAAGACACGTCTCTTAGATGCCACCTCGAGCTTTGGTCCAACTGTTGTATGAATAGCAAATAGATTAGTGAAGGATATAATGTACGGATATAAATACATTCAAATAATCACATTTATTTATTCATTAGAATTATGCATCCTGTCTTTTGCCTCTGCATCTTAAAATCCAGATTCTTGGCTACACCTCAAAGTTTTAATTATCGTTGTTTGTAGCTTGTATTCCTATGGATGAGCTTCATACTCTATTGGCTGCTGTATTTTATGTGTGTGTTTGTGTGTTTAGGTGAGGTGGGATCAGGGAAGACCACCTTGGTTGCAAAACTACAGGGTGTCGAAGAATACATGAAAGGGCGTGGCCTGGAGTACCTCTACTTTAACGTCCATGATGACGACATTGATGGTAACCCTCAACCTTTCCTCTCTCTGTTTTATTTTTAATTTTAAAACAGCGGCATGGCCTTGTTTATATACAGTTCTGTCTTTGTGTCTGTGTGTTTAGACCACACCAGGTGTAATGCCTGGGTGTTAGATGGAGACCTTTACCACAAAGGGCTCCAGGGAGTAGCTGTTCCAGTGGACTCAATCGGCAACACGTTGCTCTTGATAACGGTCGACATGTCACGGCCTTGGAACGCCCTGGACTCTCTCCAGAAGTGGGCTGCCGTCGCTAGGGAACACATCGACAAACTCCGGATCGCCCCGGAAACGCTGCGGGAGCTGGAGCACAGACGTGAGTCACACAAAGAGCAGGCAGATAAAGTTGAAAGAAAGTGTGTGTAAAGGAAGGAAACCATTTTTTATACTGATTAAAAAATATATATGTGTGTATATATTTACTAATGCCAGTGGTTTCTAAATTTGCTCCTAGTTGTAAAACAGTTCCAGGAGTACACAGAGCCAGGCGGGGAGGACGGCACCCCGCAGAGGAGAAGTGAAGATGAGGAGAGCGTGCTGCTGCCGTTAGGAGACAACACACTAACACACAACCTGGGAATACCAGTGGTGGTGGTCTGCACCAAGGTACACACACACTCTCTCTCTCTCTTCCTGCCTTTATGCAAACAAATATTTTAAGTTTACCTGAAAATTTAAGGATGTTACAGACTATTTTTTTCACTTTCTCGACTTTGCATTCACGCATGCTTTGTCCTCTGTCTGACCCTCGATCTTTTGACCTTAGTGCGACGCCATCAGCACATTGGAGAAGGAGCACGACTACAGAGACGAACACTTGGACTTCATCCAGTCTCACATCAGACGTTTCTGTCTGCAGTGTATCCTTCACTGAGCATTGCTCAGAGCTGAAAGTTGCCGAAACAACAAACTTAAAAGCGAAAGTAAACAGTGAAAGTATTGATCAGTACAGAATAAGCAGAAGCTTTAATAGGGCTCCTAATCAATAACACTGACTTTGCTATTCTGCGGTCAAGTGTGGCATTTTAAGGCATCAATTCACATTTCAGCCTGAAGTGTCTTTACGCTCAGCTGCTCAGCGAGTGCGTGACAAGGTGCTCTGTTCTGTTCTCTTCTGATGGGGTGATTTTGTCAAAATAAGGCCTCTTAACAGTTTGAGCTCATATTGCTTTGTTGCAGAGAGACTTTGATAAAAGTCACGTAACCCAGTCCTGCTTGAAATTGTTTTTTTCTTTCTTTTTCATTTCTCCAGTCAATGCAGAGTGAAAAGAGCGCTCCATTTTCAGAGTTGATTGTGTTTTAAACCAAGTCCACTGCTGCAGCTCTTGTGTACACCCTGCTCTTGATTGTTTCTTGTCCCTTTTAGCGGTTTTTATTTTTATTGCTCCATTTAGAAATGTTCAAAACATCCTTGACAGCTTTATCAGATGGTGCGTCTCTGGTTTACACATCAGTGAAGGAGATGAAAAACCTGGACATCCTGTACAAATACCTGGTCCACAGACTATACGGTTTTCCTTTTCACTGCCCGGCACAAGTGGTGGAAAGAGACGCCGTCTTCATGTAAGTGCCTTCATGTTAGCCTGTGCACGCCTGTGTGATTTAAGAGTGTTTTTTTTTTTTTTTAACCCTTTCTCTCCCCCATCAGTCCATCGGGCTGGGACAACGAGAAGAAGATCGCCATACTTCACGAGAACTTCCAGACAGTAAAAGCCGATGACAGCTTTGAGGACGTAGTAGTCAAACCACCAGTCAGAAAGGTGCAGGCTTTCACTTCTAAATCTGCTAACTTGGCGAGATCCTCTTAGGCATGCTAAGCTTACAGTGTAACTCTTATGTGCTGCTGTAACATTATGTTTCATGACTTTTTACATAATTTTTTCCAAGCCACTGCTCTAATCTTTAGCTAATATCCCTGCTGGGATCATGAGAAATTTAAGCTCTCTAATTCATCAGCTGTTGTAAGCATGTATTACGTGAATAACTTCTCTCCTATCTTCTTGTATCTGTCAGCAGATTGTACATGAAAAGGAGATTCAGGCAGAAGACGACCAAGTGTTCCTGGTAAAACTGCAGGTTAGAAAACTTTGCACTTGTGTTTTTTTCTGGCATCACTTTTTCTGCTGCTTTTGCCTACTCCAAAGAAGTCTGACTCAAGGGTCTTGATATGCTAATGAAGGACTAATTGGAGTGAGTGTGCTTGTTGTGCTTAATTTGCAGTCGCTGCTCGCCAAACAGCCTGCTGTGACAGCAGGGCGGCCAGTGGTGAGTGCTTTCCATTTACAACTCCATTTCCATGAGAAACGGGACGGTGTGTAAAATACTGGATGGGTTGCAAGTCATTCAAGCTCTATATTTGATTTAAAAACTGCAAAGAGGACACAGCAACTGAAAAGTGTGACTGTTTTATTAAAAATACATGCTTATTCTTATCCGATACAGCTTCTAAGATCCGCCCCAGTTTGGTGGGTTGGTGGGTGTCAGTGTACAGCAGTGGTTGTGGTTTGTTACCTTTAGACTCTTCTACTACAGAGCCATACTGTTGCAATATTCACAGATGAGGGTTGGGCATCTTATTGCTTGTACCTTAAACTTCCTGTAAGGAACTTTTGAAAAAATCTCTCGTTTCTGCTGATGTATCCCTGTCACCTGCAACAGCGACCAGGACCACGAACGAAATGATTTAAAGCACTCAGACCAGAGACGACACAGGCGATTTTCTCTTTATTTTGCACTGAAAACGCGCATATTACTGTCACTCCATAAAGGGTGACAACGTCTTGCAGCAGGAGACTCCTGCAGACTCTCAGTTGTACATTGCTTTGGAAAAGAGCATCTGCAAAATGAAATTGTAACATCGTCGCCCTTTTAAAAAATGTGTTTTCTGGATATCCGCATGTACTGCTCCAAAACCTTGGTGTGTCATTCAGCATACCTGAGGCCCTCTTAGTTGTGTATGCCACGGGCACTTGTGCGTTCCCACACCATCGTGGATGCTGGCTTTTGAGCTGTTGATAATGAGCCAGGTGGTCCCTCTCTCTACTTAAGAGCACAGAATTTGTGTCCATGGTTTTTGACAAGAATTTTTGCCGAGGAACATTTCTGAAAGTATTATTTTGCCCTGTCTCTCACAGAGTGGTGAACCTCTTCCCATCTTTACATCTGAGACTCAGCCTCTCTAGAGTTGTTCCTTTAGGGTTTTTCTTTTAAGCTTTGCACAACTTTTTCAGCCTTTTGTTGTTCCTGTACGAACTGTTGTTAAGATGTATTGCTCACATCAGGTGAGAAATAAGTAAATAGTTTACATGAGTTGTGTTTTTATACCCGTTTTTAATCCAATATAGGCGTTAAATTATTTGCAAACCATAAAAATCTGATTTTATTGACATTTTACATGCTGTCCAAACTCCTGTGGAATTGGGTTTGTATTTATCTTCAGTAACTGTGTCTGCATGTGCAAAATAACCTGTTTTCATTCACAGGACACCACCAGTAGAGCACCCACTGGATCCCCTAGGACGAGTAATCGCTCTGCAGCAGCCAACGTCGCCAACGCCATGCCACAGTCAGGTACGCCTTCACGAAACCACCTTTGTGTATGGCTCTTATGTTTAACTTTTAATCTCATTTTTATTTTTCTCTCTGTGTTTTCAGGTCAGACTAGTGAGGGCGTGTTGGCCAATTTCTTTAACAGTCTACTGACAAAGAAAGCAGGGACAGGGGGACCCGGGACGCCAGGCGGCGGCAACAACACTCCAGGAACAGTACGCAAGTCAGGTAAGAAGACGAGCTGATGTGTGCTGAGGGTTGTTACGACACTCCTGATTTCTCTGACAGAAAATTTACCGGTTAGTTTGAGATTTAACGCCATTTTCAGCCACTATATCACCCAGCTTCTTTTTGGCTTTTCATCCTCCACCCTCCCTCTATCATTTCCTCACCTCCTTCCTCTCCTGTCCTCTGCTCCAGATATGAACATTACACATGGTAAAGAGTGATGAAGAGTCTTCCAAACACTCTCACTAACTTTAACCTATACCTGTTTTTAGCTCTGTACGACCGTCTCTTCATTCCTAACTCTCTTCATAGTTGTCTGTTGTGTAATCTCACTCTTAAATCATCCATAATGTGTGTGTGTGTGTGTGTGTGTGTGTGTGCACTAGTCAGAGGATGCTGGCCACGCTAAGGTGTGTGTGTGAGATATACTCCTCATTTATTACTGCCTGCTCATGTCATTGTTCATCCCTGCTAGCATCTTTTCATTTTCCTGACCCTAACCTCTCCTTTTTTTGGGATCATGCCTCTTGTATCACACTTTTACCTCTTGTACAGCGGCACATGGTCTATAAAGATAGTTTTATAAAAAAAACATTTGTGAAACGAAACTCTAACTCAGATTGTGGTTCAGAAGATGATCCCACGGCTGCTGAATTATTCCTGCACAAATATTTTAAGTTTTGCAGTTTTTGCAGTTTAATGCACAGCACTGTATTTGTATTGGTGTCATTTAATTAAAAAAGAAAGGAGGTGTGTAAAGATCTACAGCAAACAGACCGTCATACCTCAGAGCTGCACTCTTTTCTTATCTTTAGGAGAAAACAATGCACGCCTTGACAGGTTTATTTTCATCTGATTGAGTGATACTGAATTGACATTTGCAGCCCAGATATTTTCCCTTCTTGTGCACTGTCTTCATTCTGCTCCCCTTCATGTTTTCTCCTCCTTTTTAATGCATGCTGCATCGCATTCTCCCCACTAACATCAGCCACAAACATTACACATGATTCAAACTAAGGCTGGGTTATATGGTCAGGAAAAAACTATGGAATCACACTGATGGAAAAGGCCAGTGGTTGGTGTTCTAGGGATGCAAATATCATTGATCTCTCAGACTCGCAGTGCAGTGTTTCCCCCTGTATTTGCGCCCCGCCCTGCCAACAAGATCCCAACACAGATATAGAAGTCATACATTAATCTAGACATTTCATTTTTATTTTTATCAAAACGGCCCAGAAAATATAATTTGCGCAATTTCAGCCTCTAAAGCTTGCAATCATTTCATTACTTTCAAGAAAAATGTTTCTCTCCGCTTCTCTGCTCGCTCCTCTCTTTGTCTCACAACATACACATTTGCTGACAGGCCACGCCGCGTAGTTCAGAGGCGCGGCATGTCAGCACCACTGATCCTGGTATTCTGGTCACTCATACCCGGCTAGTTTTGACAACCCGGGGTTCTTGCTCCTTTCCACAACATAATCTTGTAGATGCTAGCTTAAGCATCTCTCCCAACCCCGAAAACAGCGCTGGCTCATCTAACACTGGCTCATCGAACGAAGACATATGACATTTGTTTACGTAATGTACTTCCACCCCACCTCCCACCGCCAAAGCAAAAAAAGCTAGGGGAAACACTGAAGTGTCCAGTTTTCTGCATGCTTGTTCTTCTTGATTAGATAAGCATCAGTTAGGAACACATTTGATCCAGAGGTAGAAAACACACTCAGATGGTACCGATGTTGCTGGTATTCAAACACATGTTCGCTTTGCCACTCTGGTAAATCTCTCCTCATTGACTTTGCACTAGTCTGCTAGCTTTGTGTCCAAAGATGAATTTATGTCCAGGTAATAAAAAGTTCCCAATCCCACAGTTATCTGTGGAGCTTGTGCTCGTGGAGACCCTGTGCATGACTGCAGACCCTTGCTGAGCGTCTCCACTGTGCACAACACTCCTAGCCAGTTGGTTTGCATTGAAACGTGCTTTGAACTCAAAACACGCTGATAGCTGAATGAAATATGAGTACACACTTATTGTTCTTCCTTTAACAGAAGATGTCAAAAAATACTAGCAGGGAAGGAGAAGAGAAACCAAAGTTAAGATCACATAGATTCATAGATGCAATTAACTTAGAGCTGAAATCAAGTGGGATATGACAACCTAGATTTATAAAGTCATAGTTTTCACCTATTGTTTTGGCAGGTAAAAGTAAGGAAGAGAGGAGGTGGGTGGGTGACATATAGGGGACATGAGGTGAGCAATGCAAATAAGAAACAAAACAGTGAACAGAAACTCAAGTCCAATTTTCTGATTGTCTCACAGCATCTTATCCTAACAAACTGATAAACACACCTGCTGCTCTGCACAACCCCAAAAGATGCTGAAGGACTTTGTCTTTATGCAGATGAGACTGCACTTCATCCGAGTGCTGCTCATACAGCCGCTACACAGTGATCGCAGCGTCCATATGGTGTCTCCTAAGTTATGTCAGTGTCTTTGTGCAGACGGACTAAAAGTAGAAAGAAGAGACAGGGATGTCAGGCCTTTGCATTGTTAATTAGTCCCAATTTGCAGCCTCCTGTCAGGGGGCTTCACAACATTGCACAATTATTACAAACCTGCTCACAAAATGTCCAAAGAAATTACATAGAGGAAGTACACTCAGTGCTAGACTTTGGCGATGAATAGAACTTTAATTACTATTACAGCTCACCATGATCTGAAATATTGAGCTTGAGCGTCACTGTTTTGACTGATTTGCACTCATTTAGTCATGTAAGGTGGATGCACTTATTCCCCCTCCCCTCAAAGAGTTCTCACTTTTATTTCATCAACAATATCTCAGATCCAAGTGCAACAAAGTTTGGGCGCCTGAGGAAGTTGCGTATGCTGCAAAAGTTAACTGTAGACTGTTGGATCCTCAACATGGGCTGCTGCAGAGTTACAAACTATGAGGCAACCACAGGTGGAGAGAGGAGAGAGAGGAGCGTCTGAAAAGCAGAGGGACAGAGGAAAGCACAAGAGGAGAGAGACTGTAGTGATCAGTGTGTCATATCTGTCTATATCAGAAAATTTTGTCAAAATTACAACCCGACTCTTAATGACTCCTTCTCCAATGATATATTGTGCATAATACAAAGAAATCAATATTTACATGTATGTTGGATATAACTAAAGGTTTGCACATCTCAGTGTGTATCGTACTATCCTGAGTATCAGCCTTATAGTGATTATGTCACCCAGCTCTTACTTTAACCATGTGTAACTTCCTTTGTGAATACTGCATTATGCCTTAATCACTCAAAACAGTGAAAATGTGCCTTTTTTTCAGCTGCTTTGACTGTTTTATTAGTAGTCATCTAAATGTTCACGTGTATCTGATGCAGGTTCAAAGCTGGGCCTGGGAGATGTACAGGCAGAGCTGGACCGCATATCCAGCCGGGAGAGCGACTCAGACTTACCCAATGCCAACGAGACTCCCGCCACCGACGGACAGGACACATGAAGACCAACACACATCATCCAGCTCTCCTTCTCTCCCCCCCTCCCCACCCCCCTCTGCCCCACCTTCCTCCTCAGTCTCCTCTACCTCTCTCACTCGTCCTTCCCTCCACTCCATCACAAAGATGTGCAGAAAAGAGGGATGTCGGGGAAAGGGGGAGTGGAAAAACACAGATTCACCTCTTTGTCATCTCTCACTTTGAAAAGAACCCATCCTCTCCTTCCATACATCCTTCTGCTCCTTTTTTCTCCTTTTCTTCTCTCTCTCTCTCTCTCTTCTCTACCTGGCTGTTACACTGAGGGCCAGTATTTGTCACTGTTACATACAAGACTGTCTGTTACATGAGAGTAAATGGGTGTGGGGGGACCAATGGAGGAAGACATGAGAAGCAGGGTTGAGGAAGAATGATTTCGAAAAATGAGAGTGTGGGTGTTTTATCCATCCATTCCTCGTGATGGTGCAGGTAGTTTTTTTTTTTTACTGTAGGGACAACTGAAGGGCGCATGTGGAAGAATCTGTACTTTAGGTACGACTGTGTGTTTCATGTATGTGGGGCAAGTCATGCTCGGACAGAGGAAGAGATTGAGAACAAAAAAAATGCCTGAAACAAAACCGCAAACAGTCCTGTTTTTTTAAGATGAAGGGAAAAACATACCAGTATTTGTGTGTGTGTGTTTGTGTGTCAGTGTGTGTGAGTGCATGTGTGTGCGTATGAGAGTGAAGAATATTAAGTTACTTCAACCTAGACCTGTACGTCAAGAGATTTTTGGCTGTTTGCATTTCAACCAAAAGGCAGAAACATTACTATGCTTTTACACTACAAGCTCTTAAAACGGTGCATACACTATTAAAACAGCAGCACTGTCTGCTCGACGACACAAACCAAACATATTTTACACTCCAGCACTAGTCTTGTGTAGAAAACACTTAAACTGTCCTACAATTGGCCATTTCTCGCCTGGTGGTTCATACTGCTCCGACCTGTAAATAACAGACAGTGCACTGATAAAGGGAGGGGGTAGAGAGTGTGGGGAGGGGGGTGAGGGGTAGGTGGGTAGCTGAGCTTTACATGTACAGAAAGAAGCACTAGTGATTCAGTTGAATAGTTAACCGCAGGCAGGGTGGTGGGCGGGCAATGGGATCAGAACAAGGGAGGGTCACACCAAGAATGTACAGTCATTGTCTCGCTGATTGGTCCTGTTATTTCAGAGCTCTGTGTTGGCGTTTGTATAATCAGATCTGTTAATCAGTCAAATAAAAGGTGTATTTATTCGGATTCATCCACCTGGTTTTGCTGATTTTTCTTTTAACCTCTGATCTTCAAAGAAGTTGGAAGGCTTTGATTGATATCTTACAAAACTCTTGTGAAATCCCTCATACTATCATACTTACTGTCATCATATTTAACTGCAACCAGCATCATATTAAATTACATACTCATACATCCATACAACAAACCATTACACTGACACAGAGCTATATTCAGGCATATCAATGAAATAAACCGTTATCATAATAGACCCTCTTCCCTATACCATCTGAGAGTCATTCCTTTTTTAATGTGGACATTGTTTCAGCTCTGTATTCAGTCCATTTTATAATTAAACTTCACAGGTTGAAATAAAGAAACGTTTCCCTGCTGTGTGAATGCTTCTCATCTCTAAAGATGTGGTATTCTGTTTTATTCAAATTCAAAAATAAATGTTAAATCAAGATGATGAACATCATTCCTGAACATGAGCAAAGCTTCAGGTTGAAGGTTAATGTCTGATGAAGTCATCCCGAGGTGGGACTACAGGGAGTACTGAATGGTTTATTAAAAAAGCAAAATTTTGCAACGTCAGTCAGATCTGGTCAAACTGTGACACCACCAGACAGTGAATCAGTGACGTATTAGTCATTCTACAAAAAGAGACCTACTTTGTTGTATGGCAGCAGTGGAAGGAGCTTCTAGAAAGCTGGGGGAGCTTTAAAGGGACATGAAGCATCTTAAACACAGGCTGATATATGTCAACTTTGTTGTATCATGTGTAGCTGCTAAGAAGCTTCAGGGGGTCAATATACAGCTAAAAATAAGCGTAATATCCACCTTTTTAAAACTAGCTTCCCTCTTTAGCTATAACCTCTTCTCTCTGAATACAACCAATGGTCAATATCTAAGAAAGAAAAAACATTACCATGAAAGCTTGCACTGATTAAGTCACCCTGGTCTAAGACACAAAATCTGTATGTTTTCAGAGCATAAAATGATTGGAGATTATTCAGAAAAAAATATGCAATCATAATGTGAATGGCTGATAGTGGCAGGTATTCAGAGCTCTAAACTGGGCTGAAGCAAAAGCAAGTGTTGGTAGTGCCAGAAAAACCTTTAGGATGCTGTTTTATACATGCATAATTCATAACTCAAATCATCTTTTTAACTCTGGAAAAATCATTTAAACAATAAACTTTTGAGCAGATTCCATCAAATTTTGTAAGGACAGACGTGTTTATTTGTCCACTGTGTCCACAAGCAACTGATTGTATATAATTCATAGTTTTATAAGCATGCAACATATTTTGCCTTCACTTTGGATATTTGATTAAAAATACCACCAGTATTAACTGTAACATTCCCTATCTGTAAGTTTCATTTTCCATTCCTTGGACTATCATGCTGTAACATTGCTCTACTATGACCCTGCAGACTTTGACCTTTCTTGTGTGTCACTCACTCGAACAATCACTCCACTATGTGTGACCCCTTTTCTCTTATTACTTTCAGTCCATATCAAACGTTCTTTTCATGTGCATGTGCGTATTTAATGATGGGGAAACAGAAGTAGATGCATGATGCATTTTAAGGTTTGCAAGTAAGGATTTATGTGATTAATCAGTTTCTGTTTGGCTTGACAACTGAAATTCAGCTATTGCAATAAAGTGCTTCTTATAAAGTGAAATTCATTATCCCAGTTTTCTTCCTTTTTTTGCTCTTTGCTGCTGCAGTCTATTGTAGGATAGTGATTTCCATTATGCAAGTGAAAAAAAGGGGAAAAAGCAAATTTCATGTTGACCAGATTGTGACTTCATTAACTGAGAAAAACGATTAGAAAAGATAAAGGCTATCTCTGCCGAGGAAAATGTTTGTATCCCAGAGTAAACTGCATGTTAATGAAGCCCCTCTACCATAACCCAGCAGCTCATGAATCACATTCCTTTCTAATGAATGCACCTCGCCCTCTCCACCACAGCAAAAATTTAACATCTTATAACTACACCAGAGGAACATTTCACTAAAAGGATGGATTTCTGCTCTAAGCATAAACGAAACATGTATCGATATTAGACAACGCGTGTAAAATAACAGTCTCCAGGTACAAACTTTAACAGCCGCCCTATTTTTCCGAGTGCGGCAGAATACTGTATTTTCTCCTTCGCCATCTTGGTGCTAGCTCGCGCAGGCGGAAGCAGCATCTTCGGCGGAGCAACAGCGGGTGTGGTTCGGACTTTTACGGGCGGTTCACCGAGCAGCTCTTTTCCTATTTTCAGCCGAGAGAAAGGAGCATATTTCCCTGACAAGAACCACGGAGGAGCCACTCCACTCTGGTGAGGAGAACCCTTTTACTACATCCATCGCTCGGTGTTTTCAGCGATCTCCCGGAGCAAATCCTGTTTAATTCGGGAGGGGGCTCCGGTGGGGGTTTCTGGTCTGGCAGGTTTTGTGCGGCGGCGCTTGGATCTACTTTTCATACGTCCTGGTTAGCTAAAGCTAATCAAACCAGACTTCAACATTTGGAGGGCTGGCCTGAAAGTCACGATTTTGATAATGAACTGAATTGTAGTTACAATGGCGTCTTATCCCGATTACGCTCTGGGACAAGTGTACGGGAATTAGAGCATTGTGAGTATGGCACGAAACGGTGTTTGTTTATATTAGCTGGTAAGCTAACCAGCGGAGGGGTTAGCTGGGCACGTTAAGTTAGCATAGCGAGCTCTCAAGGTAAGATAGCCAACCTGGAGGCTCATACGCCTGCGCAGAGGTTTGAATTAAGCTAGTAAACGGGCTCTGTTTTTGGTGTAACCTAATCACTGCGTGGATTTTGGGTGTTTTTAGTTTGATTTAGCAGCTTGTGAGGTTTACAGACAGACTCAGCATGAGAGGAGGAGTCATGGAAGTGATTGCGGGGCGCAGAGAGAGGAGGGGGCAGTTTCTCTCATTGGAAACCCAGGCTGTGAGGTCGGAACTTGGCCGTGGTAGGGGGAGGGGAGGGGGAGAAAATATGCCTTTGATGTTCTTTGCCGCTGAATGGTGAATTGTGTTCATGCTGGCCTGGAAATACCCTCCGCTTTGCTCTCTGGAGGTGGAGGTAGAGGCTCGGCATTTCCACCTCACAGCTACGGCGGCGTCTGAATCAGAGGGACCGGATCTAGGTAGTACCTGGACTGTGGGGGTATTATCGAGATCACGCAGAGGAAACGTGAAAACGCTTTAGTTTGTCAGCGAAACTCTGGGTGAAGTGTGACTTACAAATCTCCCTCTGACTTACACATTATTTTGTGCTTCAAACAGACATATCTGCTGTGCGGGCTGAGGGCAGGCGAGAACAATGGCTACCCAGTGTGAGTATGACCAACTTTATTTGATTGTTGATTCAAACACACTGAGTTATAACTGACCTTCACTACCTGGAGAATGGGCTTTTCCTGTTCAAAAATGAGCTCACTCTTTAAACAATGAGGTGACTCAGAAAGAAAATGGAGGCAAGGTGAGCACATGTCATGGCACTTTTCTTGTGTTTTCTCTTTTTCAGAATGTAGTTTAGTAAATTAAACAGCATATATTTTGCTCCCTCATGTTTATTAATGAACCTATCAGAATATACACAACACACTCCAACACACTACCACCATCACCCTCAGCGTACATGTAGATTTCAATTATCACCTGTCTGAAGCTGCCTGAAAGCTGGGTTTATTTTAAAGTAGAGCTGTTGCACTGATTTTCACCAGATTTTCATGGTCATGTTATAATGATGTGGTGAGGCGCTTGATGGTGCCATGCATAAAGGAACATATGCTTATGTTTTCAATCAATATCATTCTCTTGATTAGATTTTTCTTAACTGGGAAATCTGCAGCGTTAACAGCAGCAAAAACTCAAAGTTGGCAGGAAAAGAGGTGACACATGGTGTACGGATAATTGAAAAATGAAGTTTCAAAAAGCAGTTGCACACATTGCGCTAAAGTAGTTGGATATGCAATCCTGGATTTTTGGTGTTATTGCACAGAAGCAAACTTTTCTGTCACTCATGAGTGATAAGACTAAGTTTATTTTCCTTTTTTTTTCTGTTTTTGACAAACAACTTTATAAGATGAGTGTAAAAAGTCCAACTGGGACGTTTTACTCGGATAAAAAATATCTTACATATGAGATTACAAAAATTCATTGATCCCTCCAGCATTTTTTTAGAGTGAAAAGAATTAAGTGAAATTAAAAATGACTTACTCTGTGCTTCTCTAATGTAGCTGATCTGATGGAGCTGGACATGGCGATGGGGGACAGCAAGGCTGCAGTGAGCCAGTGGCAGCAGCAGTCCTACCTGGATTCAGGCATTCAGTCTGGGGTCACCACCACAGCTCCATCTCTGAGCGGCAAGGGAAACCCTGATGCTGAGGAGGATGATCCGACTCTGTACGACTGGGAGTTCAACCAGCCTTTCACTCCTGAGGCTACAGGTACATGAAACACAGAGATACATCATGTAACCCTGAAAACAACCTTGAAATGCAAGAATACCAACAAAAATCTCTTCATTGTGGTATTTATGCCTTGTTGCCTCACTTCCAGACATCGAGGGATATGCCATGACCCGGGCCCAGCGTGTGCGCGCTGCCATGTTTCCCGAGACTCTGGAGGAGGGTATCCAGATCCCACCCACCCAGCTGGATGCCACCCATCCAACGGCAGTGCAGCGCCTGGCAGAACCGTCTCAGATGCTGAAGCATGCAGTGGTCAACCTCATTAACTACCAAGACGATGCTGAGCTGGCCACTCGCGCCATACCTGAGCTCACCAAGCTGCTCAATGACGAGGACCAGGTATGTCCACACCTGAAGGGTAACTGCTGTTTTATGGAAGCAGTTCTTGTCGTGCCCTCACATTTCACATCCCTTGCACAATATTAACCAAAGAATATTCTTCTAGGTTGTCGTGAACAAAGCAGCTGTCATGGTGCACCAGCTGTCAAAGAAGGAGGCATCGCGTCACGCCCTGATGCGCTCCCCGCAGATGGTTTCGGCCGTTGTCCGTGCCATGCAGAACACCGGTGATGTAGAGACAGCTCGCTGCTCTGCTGGCACCCTGCACAACCTCTCCCACCATCGTGAAGGGCTCCTGGCAATTTTCAAGTCTGGAGGCATTCCTGCTCTCGTCAAGATGTTGGGGTGAGAAAGTGGTAGATTGATTGCATATTGGTGATTATCAGTGAGCACACGTATGGTGTTTTTTCCACCCACATTTCCAGGCAGCCCAGATTTGCACTGTCCAGCAATTAGCAAGCAATTTAGAGTTTTTCTTGATTGCTCCTATTAGGGAAGACACGTCAGTTTTAGGTTTATGGACACCGAAATCTGTTGATCAGTGAGGTCTGTATGACGAGGACAAAAACAACCGACATGTGTTCATATCTGTGTCTCAAACACTCCTCCACTTCTCTTTGATCTTTTTTCTCGAAAGTCAAGAGAGTTTAAAAATGCCTCTGTGTTTTCCCCTGCAGTAGCTCAGAGTCTATCACTCAAGATTAAGCAAATAATGAGTCAGGTTTGCAAATAAATTCAGCAGTGTTTCTGGTAGAGCTTAGTCATCACCTGTGCAGGGGAAAACACCTCGAGACTATCATAACAAACCAGCGTGTGTTAGACCAGCAGTGTTTCACAGCACAGTGACTCCAAAACATTAGATGGAGTGCGTACTCTGTTACGTCTGGACTCTGCATCTTTGATCTCAGTGAGAAATCTGAAACTGTTGATATTTCTCCTTTCCTGCTTTACTCCTTTTATTCTCAATGAAAAGCTAAAGCAAACAGCCAAAAACAATTAACAGGCTGGCGGGTTGTAACCTGTCGGACGCCTCGTGTGCGTCTTTGAATTTGCACCTGGAATCATATTACTGTGCTTTGAATGCAGGATGAGAGTGGTTGCGTGGAGACAGGATGATTAACTGCCTTTGAACGCAAAATAGATTTGAAGGCAGGAATCTGTTTAGATTATCTAGCCAGCCTGAGCCGTTCTATTTCCATGATGGCTGACGTTAAAAAGCTTTGTTTTGCCCCAAGAGTTCTTCAAACTTCCTCACATATGAACCTCAGACTGGAGGGAGAAAAGGTCAGCGAACTGATGCAGTGCTCTGGAGTCGCAGTTATATTTATTTCTCTACAGTCGCTTTAAGCTGCAGGTCAGTCAGTCAGTCGGGTCTCACCTAGCAGACAGCATGTTAGCCTGCAGTAATGAGCGCTTGCCAAGATTCATTGTTGGACTTAAATGACACACTTGGCAGTTTCAACAATTGCCGATGTTTTACTCTCAGCTTGTACGACCTTTTTCTTCAAAACAACTGCAGAGTTCTGTGAGTGTGTTTTGATTGGATGATAAGCTGCAACAGTTTCCTAGAAAGTCTGATTGATTTCTGCAAACTGCTGGAGCTAAGTCATTACTCATGGTGTGTGTGTGTGTGTGCATGTGTGTGTTTGACTTTTTGTAATAGTAATTTTCTGTATTCAGTTTTCAAGTTTGAGTTTAAAAAGACCGTTTGTGTTGTAGTACAGTGGTTGGTGCTGTAGCCTTAGAAGGTTCTGGGTCAGCCAGGAGCCTCCCACAGTCCAAAGACATGCTCCGCAGGTTGATAGGTTATTCTCTGTGTGTGTTTGCGTGGGTGCAAATGGTTGTTTGTCGATGTGGTCATTGTGCCCCCCACCCTTTTAACCCAACGACAGCAGGGAGCCAGACCCCATTTTTCCCCGCTGAGGATAAGTGGTCTATAGGGTTTTAAAAGACTGTAAGAAAACTTTAAAATGTGTGTGATTTCTTTGTGTATCTTTTCAGCTCCCCCGTGGACAGTGTGTTGTTCTATGCTATCACCACACTCCACAACCTGTTGCTGCACCAGGAGGGGGCAAAGATGGCTGTGCGCCTGGCTGGAGGACTGCAGAAGATGGTGGCCCTGCTGTCCAATACCAACGTCAAGTTCCTGGCAATCACTACCGACTGCCTGCAGATCCTGGCCTACGGAAACCAGGAAAGCAAGGTATTCAAACACCAGCATGTATTCACAGTCATTTACTGTCATTCTTTCTGTCTCTTATCTGTTTTGCCCCCCGTGTGTCTGCTCACCTGTCTTGAACTGTGTTTTAGCTGATCATTCTGGCCAGTGGTGGACCCCAGGCTCTGGTTAACATCATGAGGACTTTCACATACGAGAAACTGCTGTGGACCACCAGCAGAGTGCTCAAGGTGCTCTCTGTTTGCTCAAGCAACAAGCCTGCGATCGTGGAGGCCGGTATGTACACAGTCAGGGTAGAGAAAATAAATGGAAGCCCTGTACAGTGAATAAACACCAGAGAAATGAACTCACAGTGATGTGGTCTGAATTATCGCAGTGTTGGTATCATCACAGGTCAGGTAGAGTTTGTAGTTGTGGTCTGCTGCTGGGGTGAGCATCCTCTGATGTCAAGAATTTCTTTTTGTAGGAGGCATGCAGGCACTGGGGCTTCACCTGACAGACCCCAGCCAGCGTCTGGTCCAGAACTGTCTCTGGACTTTGAGGAATCTCTCAGATGCCGCCACCAAACAGGTACGTTCTACTGCTAGAGACGAAACGAGCAGATCTAAACTGATATCTAAAGTTCGTGTGTTAACGTTTGTTTTCTCCTGCCTAATCCAACTCATCCTCCGCTCTCCAGGAGGGAATGGAGGGTCTCCTGGGGACCCTGGTCCAGCTGCTGGGCAGTGATGACATCAATGTTGTGACATGCGCTGCTGGCATTCTCTCCAACCTGACCTGCAACAACTACAGTAACAAACTCATGGTCTGCCAGGTATGTGTAACACACCGAGCTTCTGAAAAAAGGTTGTGTCTGTATCTGCAGCCTTTAAAACCTCTGAACATGACTGTGAACCTGTGAAAAATAGACCCTCAGTTCCTTATCCCTACAAATCTAACTACTGGATCTGATCGTGTCAGGTTGGAGGCATTGAGGCTTTGGTGCGAACAGTGCTGAGAGCTGGCGACAGAGAGGACATCACAGAACCGGCAGTCTGTGCTCTGCGCCACCTGACTTCCCGCCATCAGGATGCTGAAATGGCCCAGAATGCTGTGCGCCTTCATTATGGCCTGCCTGTGGTGGTCAAACTACTGCACCCCCCTTCGCACTGGCCCCTTATCAAGGTCACTAGTCATCTCTCTTTGTTTGTTTGTTTGTTTGTTTGTTTGTTTTTTTGCATTCTTATATTTTCCTAGAATAAGAACTTGCAAAAAAAAAGGAAAACATTTTTTTTTCCAGGGCTTGATCATGTGAATTTTTTCTCTCTATCTAGGCCACAGTTGGTCTGATCCGTAACCTGGCTCTCTGCCCAGCCAACCACAGCGCTCTGCGTGAGCAGGGAGCTATTCCCCGCTTGGTCCAGCTGCTTGTCAGGGCTCACCAGGACACCCAGAGGCGCACCAGCATGGGAGGAAACCAGCAGCAGTTTGTGGTGTGTACTGAAGCCAACAAACCCTCTTGCTGTTTTTTTTGCCTCACACTTTTAAGCAGTAAGTTCATGAAATTTCGTATTTTCCCCACGTTTACTCGAACAGGAGGGTGTGCGCATGGAGGAAATCGTGGAGGGCTGCACAGGAGCTCTGCACATCCTCGCCCGGGACGTCCACAACAGAATTGTCATCAGAGGACTCAACACCATTCCACTCTTTGTCCAGGTGATCCTTTCGAGTCGCTCTGAAAACCTGCTACATGGACACACTCTTACAGTCACACATGAGCTGTGTGTAAATGTGCTGGTTCAAATCTTCCTCTGCTTTCCATTGTCTCCAGTTGCTGTATTCTCCAGTGGAGAACATCCAGCGTGTTGCAGCAGGTGTGCTGTGCGAGCTGGCTCAGGACAAGGAGGCTGCGGAGGCAATCGAGGCTGAAGGAGCCACTGCGCCCCTCACTGAGCTACTGCATTCCCGTAACGAGGGCGTTGGTGAGCACACAGGCTCTTGTTCGTTGTGCACTGACTTCTCCTGACTCCGCTGTTGTTGTGCACTCGATTTACTGTGGTGTTTTGTGTGCATTTTCTCATGTAGCAACCTACGCTGCAGCTGTCCTGTTCCGCATGTCCGAGGACAAACCACAGGACTACAAGAAGCGTCTGTCAGTGGAGCTGACCAGCTCTTTGTTCAGGACCGAGCCCATGGCCTGGAATGAGGTACACACACTCACTAACAAACAACCTATTGCTGGGAACAACATCAGGGCAGGTTCTGGGGATGTAGGGTCCTCACACTGATACACTTAAACTCATCGATTACATGCTGGATAAAGTTACCGTTAAACCTCCATTAAGGCTGTTTTTTGTGGCTTAACTCATCAATGTGTTGCTTTTACACAGACTGGAGACCTGGGACTGGACATGGGGGCTCAGGGAGACCCACTGGCCTACAGACAGGATGGTATGTATATGTTTTGCTTTTTGATGATATGTAACGAAGCAGTTGAATTTCAGTATACAGGATGTTCCCATGATTATATAAACCTTGAGTGTTCATATATCACTCTGTTCACGAGTTGATTTGCATAATTTCTACTTTTGCTATTCTTTTCCTGTCAGATGGAGCCTACAGGGCCTACCCTGCAGCCTACGGTCAGGACACCCTCCTGGACCCCATGATGGAGGGTGCCGACTACCATGCTGACACTCTGCCAGACCTGGGCCACCACACTGATCCATTGCCCGACCTCGGCCATACCCAGGACCTGATGGACAGCAACCAGCTGGCCTGGTTTGACACCGACCTGTAGGATTGGTAAGGCAGACTTTTACCTGGATACTTTTTTAGCTTTTACAGTAAATAATCGTAAAAATAGAAAATCACTAACTCATCTCTGCCTGTGCTCTCTTCCAGTTGTATTCCGTTAGAACCTGCATTGTGATTGGCCTGTATTGTCTGAATCAGCGTTATGATTGGCCTGTTGAGATGTTGAAGGTGAAGAGAGCATGAAGGGGTCTTGGAAAGTGCCTGACACAAGAAAAAGAATAAAAAAAACAAAGAAGATGGTTGCCACGGGAATGTTAAAGCAAGTCGACGTTGGGGGGTGGGGGGGTTGGGTGGGAGAGGGAAGTTAAAGTATTAAAGAGATGTGGAATCACTCAAAGGAGGTCTTGGAGCAGGTTACCTAAATGAATGAGTGCACATGAGGTGGATCTTAAAGTTTGAAACACACACATATGTTTTAGCCTTGCCTGTATTCTTATTAGTTTTTGTTTCTATTTTTCTTATTCTATTTTTTTATTTCTTTTTGTATTACTCATTCTCTGTTATGGTACTGACCCAGCTTGCCTTCGCACTAGCCATCTTCATTTTTTTCTTCCATGCTAATCATTTGTAATTTTTATTTTTTAAACGTATATTACATGTAGTGTTAAGTTATAGTGATATTATACAATGTTCCTTTGGTTAATGGCCGAATGTGTAGAACACTAATAATCAGTTGAATTGTACTCTGACTTAAAGTGTAACATTGTGTAGTTTTTTTTATAATCTCAAAAATGGAGAATTATGCATTCTTAATATGTGCTTGTTTAAGCATAAAGTATGTCAGTGTCACAAATGTTCTAAAGAGGGGGTATGGGGTGAAATTGAGGGAGGGTTCGGGGATAAATCTAGAGACAAGTGTTTTATATACAGTATCACTGGTAGGTTAACAACTATTTTGTATGCTATCATTGGACGTCTGATAGAAAAGTCTTTTAAAGCTATCATTGGTGGTCGAATAAAACCCAGTTTTATGTGCTATCAAGGGTAGCTAGGTTGATGAACCAGTTGTAGTCCTGCTGTGCTTATTTTGGAGACGAGGTTATGACACGGCTGAACAATAAAATGGCATTTTATTTCACTTTGTGTCCAAGCTGTGTCTTTTGTTCATCAATGTCAATTTAACAAGTGTTAAACCCTTTAATGTAGAGACGTGTATTTGAAGCTCATGTGTAAATGGAAATGGTACAACTGTCTGTTTCTTAAGCTCAAACCCCTTTCGGACACCAGTTTTGGACACTTTGACATACAATCAATTAAATCAGTGGTTCTCAATCCAGTCCTCGAGGCCCCACTGTCCTGCGTGTTTTGGATGTTTCCCTGCTCCAACACACCTGATTCAAATGATCAGCTCGTTATTGAACCATTACAGAGCTTGATAACGAGCTGATCATTTAAATCAGGTGTGTTGAAGCAGGGACACAACCAAAAAATGCATGACAAGGGGGCCTCAAGAACTGGATTGAGAACCACTGTATTAAATTAACCGCAAAGACAAGATATTTAAACTGATAAACTTTGTGGTTTTTAGCTTTTATTCACACATTTTGCATTTGATGTCTGCAGCAAGTTCCTAAAAAGCTGAGACAGGGTTTACCTCTGTGTTACATCACCTTTCCTTGAACAACTCTCATGACGCCTTTGTGAACTGAACTAAGAAGAGCTATTTTTGAAACTCTCGAGGTGAAACTCTTTCATATTCTTGCTTGATGGACCACTTAATACGCCTGCAGAATGTGTCTTGGCATTGTCTTGCTGAAATAAGCAGGAATGTCCCTGTAAAGGATGTGTTTTGGATGGCAGCATAATGTTGCTCCTAAACCTGTATGTATCTTTCAGCATTAATGGAGCCTTTACAGGTGTGACAGTTCGTCATGGGCACTAACACACCCTAGACCATCACCAATGCTTGCTTTGAACTTTGATGGTCCTTTGACACCATGTCCGTGATCTCCAAATACAATCTGAAATGTGGACTCATCAGACCATTTGTCCAATTTGCATCAGTCCATCTCAGATAAGCTTGGGTCCAGTGTTTCTGGGTGTTGTTGGTATCTGGCTTTGGCTTTGGCTTTGGCTTTGGCTTTGGCTTTAACTTTGCGTGGTAAAGTTTGAACTTGCATTTGTAGCTGTAAGAGCAAACTACTGTATTTGTTCATGCAGTTGTTGACAAAGTGGTCCCATCCTTGCTTGTGAATGACTGAGCCTTTAGGGCGGTGGTTCTCAAGTCCAGTCCTCGAGGCCCACTGTCCTGCATGTTTTGGATGTTTCCCTGCTCCAACACACCTGATTCAAATGATCAGCTCATTATCAAGCTCTGCAATGGCTTAATAACGAGCTGATCATTTGAATCAGGTGTGTTGGAGCAGGGAAACATCCAAAACATGGAGGACAGTGGGCCTCGAGGACTGATTAAGAACCTGATTTAGGGGATGCTCCTTTAACACCAAATCATGACCCTCAACTGTTTCCAATGAACCTGTTCACCTGTGGAATGATCCAAACAGATTTCTTTGGAGCAGTCCAGACTTTTGTTGACCTGGCCCAACTTCTCTGACACATGTTGTAGAACTTGCTCCATATTGAGTAAGGAGAGTCCACAGACACATCACCATCAGGTAAATAAATGTTAAAGCCTGGACGAGGTGGCAAAGACTTGAATGTGGGTGATCAGAGCTGTCTGTGGGAGGGATAACTTAATTGTTTTAGTGATTTTCACCTCATCTGATCTGCAGCAGGACCTTTTAGTGACATGACACACCCTGTGAAGGTGTGAGACATCAGGGAGAGGTTAAATGGCACATTTAATAAAAAATATATATATGAAAACAAACTTAAGAGCAGGTTTGCCTCACATTTATACAGTACAGAAAAGTAGTGCCATTAAGGTGCAACCACTGTGGTGTGGTGATGCTGTTTTCTGCATGAGATTGTGTTTGTTTGTGTATGAGCAAATGTGGTTTCACAGGCTCTTGAGGTCAATGAGGGACAGTCAGTGGATGTGGACTCAGCTGTGGTTGACTGTGAACTTTCGCGGTTGACGTCACAGGTTACTCATTTGGTTGTTTAGATTTACATACTAACAAGAACTGTTTCTATTTTATTTTTCTCTGGAATAGTGAAAAAACGATAATGACATTTCAACCGACAATCAACCAGTCACTAGATCAGTTTGGTATCAACTCAAACACTTTTAGTATGAAGCAACCACTTAGCTTTTTCTGCTTTTTAGGTAAACAGATGATAAAAGGACCTAATGGTCAATATTCAGTAGTTTGAATTGTGGGCTGTGTCCTCCTTACTAACAGGTAAATCACTCTCCAGCTGCTGTAAAGAAGAGAGGTGATAATCACTGGAATGTGGCACTTTAATGGGTCATTACAGAAAACAATAGATTTTAAAGCAGGACCGTTTTTAGTCCAAGATTAGCTTCATTCACACAAACAGGTTCTGGAAAGTTCTGTGTTTGATTTAAGGATTTAAGAAGGGTCCATTTGTTTAACATGAAGAGATGCCTCAATATCACAGCTTATACAATTTTCAAATGGTGTGTTATGTGAACTGTCAAATGTTCATGATAGCCAAGCTCGATTATATCTCTACTTCTAAGAAACATAGTGTCAGACTTGATATCATCTTAACCCACAGAAGCCAAACTATGAGCATCATACAGTCAGTGTTTATCATTCATCGAATTTAATCTGAAATCCACCAAAATCTTCATGACTATGAGTTTGCTAAGTTTGTGACTCTGACCCCAGTTCAGCTGAGCCCACACCTTCAATCAGAGAGGTAAGCCCAGCAGTTATTGTTTCAGTCCTACAGCCCTCCATCTGCATGTACCTAAACCTGTTTCTGCACAAAGCATCAGATCAGGTAACATGCTGCTGAATCTGAATGAGGATTACTGATGGAAATGAGCCCAGTCATTATGAGTGTCAGGTTTGATGTGCTGACTGCTGCTCTGTGATTAGACTGCCTGTTTAAACCTCTCCGTCTGTGTTGTGTATTAACAGAGCAGTTTTGTGGAAGCTGAAAATCAACAGTCTCACATGTTGAAACACAAAAATGAGAAGCTGAAAGAAAGACTGAATATTTTCAGTTTTTTTTTCAATCCATGAGTTGAATGCAGAATAGAGAGAGACAGGTTTGACCTGAGACCAGCACACACCTGAAGGTAGTTATCAGCTGAGATTTGTCTGCTGCTGCCGTGTGAAAACAGCTTCAGTGTGAGTAGTTTCAAACTTATCTACAAGAAAACAAAAGAAAAGTATTGACATATTGAATGAGTAATGTTACTGATTTTATAAAGTTTATATATCTATTTATTTTCATGTTTAATCCTGAACTCTTTTGTATGACTCTGCAAAAGTTACTTATGTAAAGCTCTCTAGATTTTTATGCTTAGACAGAGGCTCCTTTAAATTGGCACACTTTTAAAAAATTTTATTTCAATGAGTTAGTAATTTTTAATCTCCAGACAAAACAAAGTTTCTGCAAACAAAGACACAAGGTTCATCATGTCAACCTTAGATCAGTTTAAAATAAGAGTCTGAATTTCATATATGTAGTTGATTTAGATATACTTCTATTTAAGTGCAGATAATTCTTTTGACCTATCTTAAGTTACAAGTCTGCAGTTAGTCTTTATCTTTCTCTAATGTATTGATATTTTGAATTTGCCAACAGTCGTGAAGCTATTTGACCTTTCCACTAAAAGGTGAACCATGACTGCTTGTTATTTCTTTTATCTAACATTTCTCTCCAGTTAATTCATTTTCTTTAGATTTGACATGGCTCATATACCTTGTTTTCTAACATGCATCACATATATAAACAGAATCTGAAGAAAGGCTGCTAAATTAGTATACCTGTGTGTAACATTAAGTCACTGCTGAAGTTAAATAAAAAAAAACCAAACAGCAGAGACAACAAAAAGTGAGATCAAATACTGGTAACATCCAAACAGACATACTGATGAGTGTTTGAAATGCTCTCTTTCTCTGATCTCTGACTCCACCTCCAGCAGCAACACCTCATTCACCTTAAAAAGTCCTCATCAAGCTGCAGAGCACACCCACTAATGTCCCATTGTCCCCACAGGACATAAATCCACACCTGGTTGCTGCAGGCCCACATTTGCTTTCGGTCAAGAGGTGTATCCTGTGTCAGTTCTGGAGTTTGATCTGTTTGACTCTTGGGATGAAACTGCAGACAAAGATGGAGAAGAGCGGATCTTCAGGCTGTGGATCTCAGCAGCGTTTGTTCAAGAAGAGCACCACCTACCTGGCAAAGATCGCTGTGGTTTTGCAGGACGCACCAGGAAAGATGCTCACCTTTCCTCAGGTAGGAACAGCACATATACTAGAAAACTCATATATGGTGTCAAACAGAGTAAAATATGTAAATGCATGATTTTTGTTAGGATTTCCTGGAGCCCTAACAGAGTTTTCATACCTTCAAGGAACATTTAGTGCATTTGATAGCTCCCATTGGTGTTTTCATGGCAGATGACGGTCCAGAAATTATTTATTAGATGTTGCACAGTGTGAATCAAAGTTACAAGTCAACAAACATGAACTGAAACAGCAATATTTATGAGCTTTACCAATTTCTTTTCATCTATTTGAAATCAAGCCAGAGTTTTTACAAAGAACCCATGGCATGACTTTAAAAAAAAAAACAGTTTTTAATTGCTATAGGTTTGTATAATGGGATTTCTCAGGGCATACTTTCAGCCCTCAGAGAGTTTGTAAGAATTGTGTTGAAGAGAGTAAAGTGCTACTCAGGTTGAATCTAGAAGTCCTGTCAGGGATTTACCAAATGTTTATATCGTTGTTTGAGGGGTTACAGCGGCCATCCTTACAGCTGCAAGCATATCCATAGGGATAAGAAGTAGATTAACACATTTCACCCATGTAGAGGACAGTGGGGTATGTTGAGCAGAAGGGTAAGTTGAGCCAACCCCTGTTGCTTAGAAATGGTAAAAGAAATTGATCATGTGACCAAATATTTAGGAGATGGGCATTTACTCATGGAGTCTGTGAAGGTAAGAAGCACATGGGCTAAGGGGTTAGACATTTATTTCCAAAAAATATTTTTCACTCTTGAAAGTGAATTTAGTCTGTCATAAGTTGAATTAGAATCGTGTTCAAACCAAAAAAGATCATTTTAAATTTGTTTTATACATCAATTGTGGTATCTATGAGCTACAACATGAGGTCAAAAACCTAAAATAAAAGTCCACCATTTTATCTTAGAACACTGATAAAGTCACAATAGTCATTCTGGGGTAAATTAAGCCAGTGACTCAACTGAGAAAGTAAAGAAGTCTGATGAAAGGATCAGAGTTTCAGTTCAGATTGTTGAAATGTGTTACTTTTTCTTTTCAAAATTGCAGCTGTGAATGTTCTGAATCACTTAAAGGCATTCTCATGTTAAAATGACTTTTTACAAAACATCTTTTTAGCAGTTATATTCAATAATAATAAAAAGAGTTATTATACTAGTTGAAAAGCATGTAAAAGATAATAATACACATGAATGTGAAGAAGTGACTGTTATCTAGGGAGAGAGAAGGTGAGGGAGGGCTGGTGTGGAAGGTGGGGGGTAGTAGGGATACGGCTCAACTTACCCCGCTCCTATGGTCAACTTACCCCATACTCAGGGTAAATTGACCATAGGAGACCACTTCATTTGGCATGCTATATTATCAAGACAGTTATGTTTACACTCATTCTGTTGATTTGCAGGGATGAACAACATCTTGAAATATATGCAGATACAGCAGTTAGAGACAAAACTGTGATTGCCTCGATGTTGTGATCCGAAAGATGAAAAATGGCTTATCTTACCCCACTCCCCCCTATCTTAATATCTTAATCTGGTGTTTTGCAGTTGATGGCGAAGCTGCAGCCGATCGTTAGTGGAGAAAGACGAATTGTGGAGGGCAACATCAGAGTCTGTTTATCTTCCAACAACTGTTTTGTCAAGGTGAGTTTTCATCCCTAAATGATATCATGCCAAACGCCTTTGGTGAATTTTGCACTAATCCTCATCCTTGCTCTTTGTGTTTTCAGATCCCACTGATCATAGACTTCATAGACAGCAAGAGAAACTACTGGAAGCTGGACGTCAGTCAGGTCACACCCAAGATGGTTCGTCGTCACTTCAAAGGGCTCCTGCAGCTCTTCCCTGAGTTGGCCTGCAAAGTGGAGACACCAGAACAGAGCAGCCCTGCTCCCCTCTCTCCTGAATCCTCATCCTACAGCACCGAGCAGATCAGATGTGAGGTGAAGTTCAGCGGCCCCTTCTCCATTGAGTCGCTCCTAAAGAGAGACAGTACCCCTCCCCGGGCCCCCGTTCCGTGCAGTGTGTCTGTCAGAGCTGAACAGCAGGGGGTCATGAAGAAGATGAGCTTGAGCTGGGACTCTGAGCAGCTCCTCCAGCAGGCCTCAGATAGTAGTTACCCTGTCGTTTCAGCAGAGGGCGGCACACACCATGGACTTTGTAAACCCATCAGGAGGACTCATGTGTACTCCTCCTTTCCAGTCTACAGCAGAGCTCATTACAACATCCCAAACTCTGGTTACATCACCCATTCTCTACCAGCGTCTACCCATGATGCTCTGCGGTTTTGTTAGTAAATATGTGTCAGCGTCCAAACTGCACTTTTATATGTTTAATGTTGGACTGAGGTAGATTTTTCTAAAAAATCTGGGGACCTTTCCAATCCTACAGGACCTGTTTTAGGTCTCATTTATGTCCTGTTACCTACAATTTCTCTTATTTATGGCTGTATTTAGTTTGTTTCAGCTGAATGAGAAGAGAGTATTTCTTTGACTGACTTGTTGACAGATTCATTATTTTTTATACATATTTTTTTTAGCGTCGTTTATATTCTGTGTTTGACCCCTAGATGGCAGGGCAGCATTTTTTTTGTGTGTTAAATGCGACTTTTTTAAAAAACGTTCAGCCTTGGGTATAAACATATTAAAAGTGTTTTTCTCCTACAGCCTGCTCCTCCTGTTCTGATTTTGTCACACACAAGGTGCTCATGTAACCTCTTGTAATAATGTAATACTCTATTTATAGTTTTAAGTCCCTTACTTGTAATCTCACCTGTGAATCTAGGTCATGCCATGTTCAGGGCGGTACACATCTAATGAACCATGCCACGATAACATGCATCATAAACCACAAATCATTTTATTAATCATTTAGTGTTACGCTTGGACTCTGACCCTTGCTCCCACACTCTACAGTCACCCCATTTAGGCCGTGATATAATGTTGAGTTGAGTGACCATAGTGGCAAGGTTAAGTAGAGCAAACATGTAGTAGATGGAATCTGTTTCCTGCACAGCTGGCTGAGCGATAATTCACTAGTTTTTGCAACACATGAAAAGTTACATGAGTATTATAGCACAGGAGGTGTGCTTTTTTTCAGGCACATGCCTAAATCTGCTGTTTTTCCCCTTTCAGAACCAGTCCCAGTGGATCCTATAATGCTAACCAAGACATTCTTACTCAGTGAGAGGGGGGGCTACATCTTGGAAAAGAGAAAACAGATTGAAACCAAAGTTAACTACAGGCTGTAAAGTTGGTGGGATTAATGGAATGAGGGGCCAAAAAGTCCGGAAATTTGTCATCCATAGTACATCCTGAGTGACTATTTTTAAATGCATCCCAACCTGTCAACATAAACCTTAAGATTGAGTCTATATCCAATACAGAAGACAGAACCAGAGAAAAATTAATCTCTGCATGCATGTGTTACTGACTGAGGAGCAGCTGATTCTAAAGTGGAGTGTAGTTCAGTGTAAAACTCTAAAACTCTGCAGGACCTCCACAGTCCTGCAGACTCTGTAAAATATATGAACAAGACTGCAGATGAAATCCACACTGTTTCCTCAATGTTTTATTATAGAATATGATCCCTGTCTGTATGAAGACAAAAAAGACCTTCAAAGAAATGCACAAAGGTCTCCAGAATATCTTCAAATTGTGCTGTATGTGTGGACTCCAACCGCCAAGTTTTTCACCTGAACTCCACAGGCTATATTTCTTACCAGTCCCTTGAACAGTAGCATCAGTTACAGGTAAAGTCTAAGTGAGGTTATGTGAGAATACAGAAAAAACTCTTCTATTGCAGGGGGTGGAGTGGTTGATGTTTATCATGTGCCCAGTGTTCTATTTTTGCCACCTTGTTGTGAAATGCCACTGTAGCACAAATCAATAACACGCATTACATTGTGATCACACTAATCTATTTGACTTCATGGCTGACATTCAGGGATTCCCACCATGAACAATATATTTTGATAGATTGCAGGCCAAAGTCCCTGAAATTTTCTGGATGTTTTTAAAGGAGCATGTCTGACTATCTAACTTTCCAACTGTTGCCATAGCTATAAGAAAAGTACTCAAAAAGAGTCACACGTTGTCAGAGTAATGTCCTAGACTTGTGGTTGGAATGATCAGATCTCAGTCTCTCCTGAGGACCCATTAAAGGTGTGTCCATACCTGAACACTGAGGCTGTCAGGGTGGATGTTGCACTTCTAGCACATAGAAGACACACCTTCCTTTTTGTCTTCTTTATCTCTTTCTTTCCAGATGTGAAGTGTTCCCAACTCTTTCCATACAAAACTAACACAGTTAATCTTCAGGACAGTAACACAAATGCAGAAGTTTCAGGGATCATGACAAAGAGAGGATCACGGTAGCTTTTTATGCGCTGTCTTGACGTTTCTTCTAACACTCATCTGAACAAGAGACTGGGTGGGAAACTATAGTGATGACAAGGCAAGACATGAAGTGATTTGTTAGCCTTTCTCTGAACAAAAGACAGTCCAACTTTGCAAACAGGCTCAGCAGCAAGAGAGAAAATAGACTGCAAATATTGCGCAAGTGTCAGGGGGTTATCTGAGATTTGACAGCCAAAAACACACAGGACATTAAAACCAATCAGGTTAAAGGGGAATTTGACTAAAACCTTTAGTTAACATCTAATATCGAGGATACCTCTCATTTTATAGACATAAAATATAAGGCATATTGCAAAACAGTGAGTTTAAAGTAGTTGTCTTCTTAAAACGGAAGCTAGTCAGAGAAGTAGCAGATGTTTAGCTAGCCAGCTTTTGCCCTTTAAGGGATGATTTAACACTTAAATTTGAAGCCATAAACAAATTACCAGCTTTTACATCTTTGAGTAACTAATGAATTAAACATTCATACTTTCTAAACTTTCTTTTAACTGGTTTCATTTGGCTTTGTTAGTGTACTTCAAAATAAAAGCATGTAGACACAGGCTATTAATGCAAAAAGAGAGAAATCATCAAAATAAAAGCATGACAAACAACTGTTTTGTGGGCAAATGTATCTTCAAACAAGTTTGTGATGTTTGAATTTCCAAAAATATCACAATTATGTTGTTGTTTTGATTTTTTAAGGTCACAAAGAGTGTAAGGTGAAATTCTCCATTTCATGACAAGGCTAATTCAAAGTTATGTTTGCCAGAGTGTCCTTTGTTGTTTCCCTGATTCGAGCCACATATCTGTGAAAACCGGAGTTTTAAGTAATGTTAATTAACTTAAAGTTTAAATGAATCGTAACACTTACATACCAAAACATGAGGATAATGCAGTGCAAAATTTTCAGTTTTGTTGAATCATACTCACCTCAGACATTTGGAAGAAAACAAGCTCATATAAGTTTGTTAATTTTTAAATGTTTTTTTTTTTGTTTGTTTTATTAAGCCAATAACTTGTTAAATTCAGTTGTGTAAACTCAAGTTCAGATGTTGATTTCTTATTAATCATGTGTTTATACTTATCAGTCCACATCAGGGTCAAGAATTTTTCCTGGATACCATCTGAGCATGTGAGTCCTGCAATTGAAGACAAACTGAAGGAGGTTTGTCATGAGACGAGGACTCGGCCTGGACGGAGGGCGAGGAAAAGAGGAGAGGAGGGTGAGCTCAGCATTTGGCAGTGTGTGCCCACGACATACTTCCAGCCAGTGGGATTACTGGCGGACGACCTAGATTGGGACACAGCTCTCTTGCCCTCCATTTTCCCTCTCTCTCTCTCTCTCTCTGTTTCCCTCTCTCTCTCTGTTTCTCTCTCTCTCTCTCTGTTTCTGTACTGACTGGCCAACAGAGATTACAGTCAGAGAGCAGAGTCTGGCAGTCAGACAGCAGCTGAGCATGTGACCGGCTGTGGGACAAAACACTCCTCTCTTCCCTTTTTCTTCACTGCTTCTCATTTACTCTTTGTGGGATCATTTAGTGTTGCATTTTTCTCTCTGTACTGCTTTTTTTTTTTTTTTACATTGGGCATTTTAACATGTCCTGCTATGGGATGTAAAAGGCCTTACAGCAGGGCACAGACACAGCTTTGTTTTGCAAATGTATCCAGGCTCTGAATGTTGTTGTGATGAGAGAGGATTCATAGACATGCTGATGAGAACTGATACTAAGAGATGGAGCTGACAAGATTTCCTTTTATTGCACAATCACAGCACACTGTCTGTCTGTCTGTCTGTCTGTCTGTCTCTGTACTGTAAAGGATTAGTTTCTGTTGTTTGTGTTTACTGATTGGGTAAACTGGTTCAGGTGCTAATCCTTTAGAGGCTGTATTGTGCCGAGGATCCTTACAGTACTTCCTGCGCAAGCCAGCAATAATGTCTCTACATGTGCTTTTATGCAACTTTATTCATGAACTGGCCCTCCTCTAAGTCCTTATCTTTCTTTGAAACCGCAGCACATCTGCTGTTCGTAGTGCTCACGCTTTGATAAACTTTCAGTTGTAAAAGAAATTCCCTCATCATCCTGGCCTCTTAGTATGACAGTCTGAATGAGTTTGTGTATGCATGTGTGTATGTGCAAGTGTGCGTGTGTGTGTGTGGAGGCTACTCCCTAGACAGCTGTTTGTTTACATGCAGGCCTGGAGACACCATGAGAGACCGCTCCATTGAGAACAAATGACTAAAATTAGCTCCATAACTTCCGATTCCTTCCTTTTGGAAGAGCAGTCTTTTGAGTCATAGAAAAATATCTTGCTGCTACGTACATTTAAGCATCAAACGAATGTTATTTTCCTGTTTTTTTTCTTTTCTTTTTCATCTTTAAAAAGTACCATTATTTTTTATGAGTCAAAATGCAGATGTTTATTTTGCTTTAAATTGAAAGGTAACTTCTACACATCCTTAAATGTTTGAAATTATGATAAAAACACTTCATAGCCTCATTGATTAACCAAAATATGAACAAACCTGTCCACTCACTTAGGCTATGTTCACACTGCAGGTCAATTCTGATTTTTTAACCATATGTGACACATATCTGATTTTTTCACGCAAGTGTGAACAGTGCAATTCTGATTTTTTCAAATCCGACCCAGGCCTCTTTTGTATGTGGACATTAATCAGATATGTATCTTATGAGACTGCAGTGTGGACGCTCAGGTCGCGTTCATCCAACTTATACCTTATCAATATGCAACAAACGTCACCATTGTTCGACAACACAAACAGGCGCGAAAAGCAATGGCGGACGAAGGAACAGAGAACAGCCAGCCAACATGCTTTGTGCACATGCGGGTCACTTCACGGACGCATTCTGTTCACATTAGATGCTGCATTCATTGTTGTAATGTGAACGCCCGCACAAAAAGATCGGATTTAACAAAAAATCCGAATTGTGAATCACAAGCTGCAGTGTGAACGTAGCCATAGACGGTGAGGCAACATGCAGTTTTCTTGTCAGTTTTCATGGACTGATTCTCTCAAGTTTTATGTATATCTATGTATCTGAGTATATGTAATCTATGTGCACAGTATTTGGAGATATTCTAAGTACAAACATAGGTTTTTCTCCATAAAGAAAACCCAGATAGACTATATCAGTGCAATCATAACTAATCATATAGTTTAAGAATTCGGGTGAATCTTTAGGTGGCCAATCAGATTCCAGGGGGTCACGCCACCCCTGTCCACTCACCTGGATGTGCCCCT